CGAACGGAGGAGGTACTCACCGCTAGCAAGACCGGTAGGAAGAGCAAACTCGTGGGTCATGTTGTTCTCCCCCATGATCTCGTTGGCCCACTTGCCGCCGACTTGGTCGAGCTCGTCAATCTTGAACCATCCGGCACCGATACCGGTAGCCTGGGCAGCATCGTCGACGGGTCCGTAGAGCATGTGGGTGATAGGACCTGGGTGGCCGGACTGGTCCCATTGGACCTTGATTGTGTCACCCTCAGCGGCAGCAACGGTCTCGACACCGGAGGGGACCTTGGAGCCGCCAACGTTGCAAACAATGTCGTCGCTGGTTACGTCGGTGACGGGGCTGTTGGAAGGTGGCATCCGGATGCCGACCTGGTAACCGGGGGTGACATCGTTGACCCAGAGCTGGTGAAGGTTCTGGTGAGCCGAGACGGCGGAGAGGAGAGCGCTGGTGAAAACGGCCTTGGTGAACATCTTGAAGTTTCAAAGTTGTGTCGTCGGTATGATATGTACAGTGACTGGATATGCAAAGATATGCTAGTGATGCCTGATCACGAAATGAATGTAGTGTAAAGAATGAAGTTGGCAAAAACCGGAACGAGTGTTGTGCAAGAAAGGACTGGCCTGATGGAATGATGAGCTGGAGAAGTCAGGACGACGGCAGCTTTTGTACTCACCCCACGCAGATCTATTCCCTGTCTTAGGCGCCTGGCATGAGATTAATAGTCCCGGAGATCAGGACAAACCGCCTGGAATCCTCCATGACACCCGTTCACGCTATCCCAGCCACTGGCAACGGGAACGACATCGCCTTGACAGATGCCAAGAAGCGACACGCCAGCAGTACATCTAGATGAAGTGCTAGTCTGCCCTTTTTGGGCGTTGTCCGCGATGCTTGTTTATGCGACAGGCACCATCCGAGATTGGGTGGGCATGGTGGTGGAGAAGCTGGGAAGCGAGCGTTTCCAGTCTCGCTACTTTGGGTTAGCGAATCCGTTTCAACTGTGCAGCCGCATGTTTCAAAACACTGCGAGAGCGGTTCGCTGGGAACACGATCCTGCAGCGAGTCGCGATGAACATGAAAACTTCGGTGTTCTTGTTGCCGAAGCCCGTAGACGCAGCTGACGGGTTCTGTGATACCCGGAGAAATTTCACAAGGCTGCGTTGATGCAGTAGTCGGTGGTTTGAAAGAACCAGAGTAACATGTGCTTGAGACTGCTTATGAATCATGTGAACGACTTTCATTGCAAAAGCAATCTACAGTTCACTTCCTTTGATGAGGCTGCACTTCATGACGCGCTGCTCCGGCGCCTGGAGTGGGGCAGCACCTCAGTCGCAGAAAATGTCTTTCTCATGGGGCTCGTCTTTTGAAGATGAAACCTGTAGGCGCTGGTACAGTGCGTCCTTCAAGCACCGTAGAAAGACCGTCCATTTCCTTGCCAGTGTCAGGCATTGGTTCGGATATTGGTGCTGTTGGGCTTGGAGTATTTGCAGTGGAAGTAACAGTGTCCGCGGGCAATGCGAGAGTTCCAGTAGAGACAGAGATGCTCCCTTGAAGCACTTCTCCATTGACGTAGATATGAATCTCCTGCACTGTAGATACTGGCAATGTCGGATGGATGATGGAGAGGAACCGTGCGCCAGCTAAGATCGAAATGAACCACAGCGTTATGAGGAAAAAAATGGCGAAAAGTACCCACGGCACAAGGATGCATTTTCGCGGCATTCGACTCAGTGCAGGCAGTGAGGTTGGGAAACCCGGTACAAAAGACTGCGCAAAGTGGGGGTGGTTTGTGTCCTGGTAGTCGGGCTTGACCTGAGCTTCCTCCATCTCCTTTGAAGCTGCTTTGTTGTAACGCGGGATCGAAGAAGGCGACTCATGCGTGGCTTGATGGTAGGGGTTGTTTGAAGCGCCACCTTTTGGTGCTGAACCAAAATTGGCGTTTTGGGGCGTATGAGGAGCGGTATACGAAAGGAACGTAGAGCTGTATGTTGGAGCTGGTGAAGGTAAGCTCCCCTGTTCGATGGAAGCCACGTCTAATGACGTTGGTCGGTTTGGGGCGTGCATGGTGGAGGCGAACATGTGGAAGATCTGTAAGTGCGACAAGAAAGAGGACCTGCCTTTTAGTGATTATAACAAAGAAACAACGCGGAGCTTGACTGCTGTAACAATTCAAGTGCGGACAATGCAGATAAAGGCACTGCATCTGATGAACAGCGTAGCATCCACAAACAATGATCTATTGCAATTAGCCTATGGAAAGAGTCATTAGCAAACGTTTCATCGCTTTCGTGCGCCTGTGTATCGTTTCTACGGCTGAATAACACATCTCGACGAATGCAGTGGTGGTGAGAAGATGGAGCGTGGGGACGACGGGTTTGGAAGGCGCGGCGTGCTGACGAACGATTGGCGTACCGGCGCTTTCCCTCGGATGCAGGGGCTAGCCTTGGGGTGTCATACTGGCCGCACCGAGTAGTCTCAATCACAGACAAAGTCAGTAGTTGAGCATGACTATCGTAGTTTTGATTATTGGCTCGTAAAATGTCCGATCATAATTGTTTGCACGAGATGTACGTGCAGAGTATGCCTTCACTAGGCGTGCTTGAGGGTATCATACCACAACTCCAAAACTCCCAGCGCAATAACCTTTCAGGCATGTCCATACATGATTCCCCGAGTATATTCAGGCTTTCGCCTTGCCCTTGCCAGTACCAGCAGGCCGACCTCGCTTCTTCCCTGCCGCGGCTGGCTGTGCGCGAGCAACTGGCTGTCCGTCTGCCCGCCTGCCCTCTGCTGTTCTGATATCCTCGAGCTCCTTCTCCAGCAAGCCTTGTAATTGTTCATTACGCCTTCCTAGTAGTAGTACATCGTCCGTATTGATTGTGTTGCGACCGGCGTGTTTGGAGAAGACTTCGAGGTCGCGGGCTGTATTTGCTGTGATGGCGTTAGCACCCTGTAGACTAAGCAGTATCTGAGGGCTCGAGGTTGATCGTACCGATTTGGGTATATACAAGCTCAGTAAGCGCACCGATGAACTGAGGTGTTGCATTCAGGTCGTTCTCCAACGTCTTCTCGTCAACGAACTGGCCGATTGAGTACCAGAGGGCTGACTTGAGCCGCTGTGCATATTGTCAGCCCAAGCTGACTATCAATTCAGACAAAAGACTTCCTACCTCTTCGCGCTCTGCTTTGGCATCATCGTTTGACGCCATATCGCCTCGTGGTTGAACTTCAATCGCGTGTAATTGCCGGCCAGACGAGTGACGCGACGCGCCTAACGCGGGCCAATAGCGGGGCCTCGGTGATGACCGGGGAGAAAGTCACCGCCCATGTTCTGCCACCTGGGGGTCCACGCTTGAGTGATTTATTGTTATTGCGCGCAATTACTTCCTCGTCAACATCGCCTTTCACGCACAATTCCACACGCATCCGTCTATCGACAAAGTCACCGAACACTTCTCTCGCGTCACCCTCCAACGAAGCCGTAATCGCACCCGGACGTCGCTCCTCCACACTACTGCGCAACAAAACTACAATCGCGAATACAAACATCACATAGCCAAGATGGACTACGTACTTGACAACGTGGTCGAGTGGAAGGACCGTCTGGTCAACAACTCGATCAAGTCTTTCGAAGAGATGACCGCCCAGCGCTGGGTTCGCATCATCGCTATCGTGGGCGCATACCTCCTCATCCGACCATACCTGCTCAACGCGGCCGCAAAGAAACAGAAGCAACAATTAGAGAAGGAGGCTGAAGACCTTGGCTTGGGGAAGACAGATGCGTTAGACGCCAACGACTTCAGAGGCAAGGGCGTCAGGGTGAAAAAGGGCGAAGCGAAGAAGAAGGAGTAGGTGCACGCATAGGAAGATGGACGGGCATGGCAATGGGGGTGGTAATACTGTGAAATCAGGGACGAGGATGATCTTGATGGGAACAAGGAGCATAGACGGCTTGAGGGACATGGATATGGGCTGCATACCAACGGCGTTTTGGCATTCGGACTTGGCCAACATGCGGACCTGGAGTGTCTTTCTGGAACACTCCTAGCACGACGACTGCGATACCTGCGATGACGCGCCTACTGAGAACGACACAACAATACAATCGAGAAGAAATCGACGAGCTAAGCTCTGGGAAGTCCACTTCTGCTTCAGTATCGTAATTCTAATAAGATCAACTCTACCCCTTTCTCAATTCTTCAGCGCTTCGACTCTCTTACACCACAGATCGAGCATCGGTGTGTTTATCCTGATTGCTGGCTAATAGACCTTGATCTCGTTCGCAATTGCACTTCCATTCATGACAGAACCCCGTTCGTTCATTGCATGTTCACGCCACATCATCTTCACACATTCACCGCGTTTGCTAGCCCATCACTCCATTCCATAACCCAAACCACCCTCCCAGCAGCGGCGTCCGCTCACTGCCACTTCAGCCCATGATCATCACATTCACAACCCTTCCGCTTCACATGCTTTCCCTTCATAACCCAACTTACTCCCTTCCGACTATGTATCCGCACGCGCAACCTGAGCACTACCAATGCCTGACGACGACGCGTACCGCAAGCAAGTTCAAGGAAAAGTCCAAGACCTGGTTTCTGAACGTCACGAGAAAAGCGGTGCCAAACTGGTCATCGAAGCTGTGGTTGAGGGTGTGAAGTTGTATCGCAGTTACAAAGAAGAGAAGGCAGCAGAAGAGAAGGGGAAGGGGAAAGGGAAAGAAGAAGGGAAGCACAGGAGACATAGGAAGGGAGGTGGTATGGACGAAAGTGGGAAGGATGGGCATAGGAGGCATCGTAGGCACAGGCGCGGTGATGAACACGGTCATGGATCCAGTGGTAGACATCGACACCGTCGTCACCGTTCTGGATCAAGGGATGAAGAGCGTGGAAGACACCGTCACAGCTCACGGGACAGAAGCCCCAGATCTCACCGACGTGACCGGAGCAGAGACATTCGCGACCCAGTCACCGAGCCCCCTCACAACAATGACTCTGAGTATCAGATGACCGGTGGTGCAGGACCAGCAGATACTTTGCATGATGGCCATAGGAGGACAGACGCTCCATTGCCTGGAGCCGGAGATCGGCCAGGAAGTGGCGGCAGCGGTTATCAAACTTCATGGGAAGATTTGGCACCTGAGCCTCGTCCCCAATCGCGATCTCGTGGACGCAAGGAAGCACACCGTACAGAACGTAAAAGATCTCGTACACCCCATCAATCTCATCGTCGAAAGTCTGGCGGGCACCGGAGCTCACATCAGCGTGACCGCTCACGTACCAAACAATCGGATCATCGTCCAGGTCGCATAGGCGCATCGCAATCTCCAACAAGGCAGCAGAAAGGACCAGATGGCACACCGTTCGGTAGCTTGCCCGAGTACAAAAGCAAAGGCGGCATTGCCATGGGTCTTGGGGATCACTTCATGGCCACCTATAGGCACATCAAAGCCGAGCATGAAGCCGGCCACCGTACCAAAGGTGCGTTGGAGAACGTCCTTGATGGGATGTGGAAGAAGAAGACGGATGCGAAGGGTTACAGTGACAGACTCCGAGAAGGGGAAAGGAAAGAGAGGGAGAAGATGAAGACGGATGCGAAGGATTATAGTGACAGACCAAGGGAAGGCGCAAGGAGAGAGAGGGAGAAAATACGAAAGAGCGAACCAGAGCGTGTCAGATGGACCGAACGGAAGCCTGAAAAGACGCGGGGCGATGAATCGAAACAAAAGGCTGCCGAAAAGGAAGCAAAGGAACGCCATCGTCATGAACAAGACGAGCGCCGCCGTGAATACGAGAAACGACTTGAACACGAACATCGTGAGAAACGACAACATGAGGAAGACAGCAAGAAGAATCGTAGCTCGCCGATTCCTGAGATTCGTGTTCAGCCCCCTACGGCTAGTGGGACTCCTCGCCGTGAACAAGACGAGCTTCGTGAGAGACAAAGGCAGGATGAGAAGCGAAAGCAAATTGAGGAACAAAGGCAGGAGGAGAAGCACTGGCAGGATGAGAAGCGAAGGCAGGATGAGAAGCGGAGGCAAGACGAGAAGCGAAGGCAGGATGAGGAACGAAGGCAGGCCGAGAAGCGAAGGCAAGAGGAAGACAGGAAGAAGAACCTTAGCTCGCCGATTCCCAAGGTTCGTGTCCAGCCTCCTGCACCTAGTGGAACTTACATTCCCCAGTCAACTCCGGTGGCTCGCAATTCTCAGGCCCCTACTGCTCCGAAATATCCTCCTCCACCGGCTCCAAGACGGCCGAGCAGACCTATCCGGCCCAATACTCCTCCCAATCGTACACCCCCAATTGCTCTAGTAGCGCACGACCGGTATGTGCCACCGGCCCAGCCTCCGGCGTCTGAACATGGTGCAGCAGCAGACTTCTACGACCAAGCTCCATATTGGCCGATGCCAGACGAATATGGAAATTATGGAGACCATGATCATCTGGAGCATGGAGGGGATGATGAACAGCCCGCTCATGATGAAGTGCCGCACCTGGGCACACACCCTTCCCCTGTTATGGCAGCTCAATATCCCGAGAGCGTTCCTTCTCCTATCATGGCTGCTCAAGATCCAGAGCGCGTTCCTTCTCCAACTATGGTCGCTCAATATCCAGAGAGCATTCCTTCTCCTACCATACCCCCACATCCAGATACACCTCCTTCTCCTGTTATACCTCCATACCCGGATACGCCTCTTTCTTCTGTCATACCTCCATACCCAGATACACCCCCTTCTCCGGATGTATCAGAGGGTCATTCAGGATCATCCTCACCAATCATGTCGCACGCACCACGCGCTCCTTCGCCACCAAATCGTTTCTCACCCGAATTCTTACAAAGCATCCCGATGCCAGCTCCCCAGCAAGCGGCATCTGCCCCAATTCCACCACCGCCGCCACCGCCCCCTCCTCCAGTTCCACCTCCACCTCCGCCTCCACCAGCAGCAAGACCACCTCCTCCGCCTGGGCCCCCTCCACCACGCTCAGCAGGTCCACCCAATATGGCCGCCATATTTGGCGATATCCTTGGCCCACGCAAACTACGTAGTGTGGCAGCTGAAGAGAAAAATGACAGTAGTAACCCGAGAGCGGGTAAGGTATTGTACGAAGAAACAGCACACAGTCGCGAGGTAGAAGAGCACGAGCGAGCTCAAGTCAGGGACGCTGGTAACCGTCTGCCAGTATCAGGAGCTAGTGGATGGAGTACCGCTTACTCCGTCAAAGAAGAAGCCGATGATCGACCAGAACCTAACAGAGCGTTCAGAGAGGAACTAGCGAGGAGATTGGGCCAAGGTATTGACACTCCTACGACGGGGACTCCCAAGAGTTCTGGTGATAGTTCACTAACAGCAGGCTCTAGGACGTCGATGAGTGCCAATGTGTCGCGGAAGCTGCAGGATGAGAGTATGTTGACATATCCCTAGAGCTGGATAGGACTGTACTGACGTGTTGATAGAAGCTCCTTTCCAACGGCTTCCGAGATCAGAGAGTGGGGAGGATCTCATCTTTACTTTGGCGGCACACATTGCGCAGCCAGGCTGGAGTTTTGACGGGCTTACTAGGAAATGATGATGACGGGATGGAACGAGATGAGGTGAGATGGAATGCTGGGAATGGATAGCCGGGTAGGCAAACCAGTGTGAGAGATAATTGATGTATGTTTGTCCAAATAGATCCTCGCGTCATAGGTCATTCGGTCCACCCTGTCGCGAATGTGTGCATTGTAACGCGTCCGGTTGGTGAAGAGTGAACGCGTACGCACCAGGTCCGTGATGGTGAAGGCTATTGACGAACGGTTGGCCCAGGCTTCCCAATTTCGCGGCAGAGCTCTGGACTGCCAAGCTCGAGCAGAAGAGCCGGGTTATTAGTCCTCATCCCTATTCCTCATATTATTAGCTATCTCGGCCTGGGAACTTCCTTGCGATCTTCGCGCGACAATTGCATCTACATTTCTATCGCTCCTTCACGATTGTTAGTGGTTGCCTCTGACGTTGAGCTGCATCCCCCACATTACTTCAACGTCGCTCCAATTGGACCCTGTGGCATCATCAGGCAGAAGAGCGCAAGCATACCGCCCGCAGCTTTCGCAGTTCAACACCACACCTCCCCCCACACAGAATCAACATGCGCTTCTCATCAGGCCTCGTTCTCGCTCTCCCGGCGCTCGCTGTCGCCGAGGAGCAGGTGCCTCTCCTTGACAAGGTGAAGGGCTTCTTCAACAAGGCGACGGCTGCCGTGTCCGCATCCATCCCCTCCATGCCGTCGGCGCCAGTCGACACCGCAACGAGCAAGGTGGCCTCCAACGCAGCTGCCGCCATCCAGTACCCAATTACCCTGGAGAACTGGAAAGAGACGCTTACTGTTGATGCTACCGCCAGCCCTCCTACCACACAGGACTGGCTCATCTTCACCACCGGCGGCAACACCACCTGCTTTGGCCTGTGTGGCAACGCAACCAAGGCATGGAACGTACGTATAGCATGCGAACATGCAGACGACCGACACTAACATCAACCAGGCTTCTCTCCCCATCATGGCCGCGAAGCCTGATGCGCCCAAGTTTGCGTACCTTGACTGCGAAACCGAGCCTCTCCTCTGCAACGCATGGTCTGTCGGCGCACCGGCGCTCTACTACTTCCAGATCCCTAAGCCCATGGCTGACCAGTCCGCGCCCGTCCCCGTCGTTCGCTACAAGCCCTTGAACCGCACCAGCACCACCACCGAGACCTTCAAGAAGCTCATCGTTGACAACGAGATTGAGCAGGTCACCCCATACGAGGGTCCCTTCCACCCCTTCAACGGTGCTCTCCAGCTGTACAACCTTGCCATTCCTTACGCATACGTCACCTGGGGATTCTCCAAGATGCCCTCGTGGATGCCCATGATCATCATCTCCTTCCTCAGCAGGTCGTTCATGTAAGCTGAATCACTCTGAGATGAAATGCGCATGCTAATCCCAATTACAGGAGCAAGCGCATGGCGGGACCAACTCCCGCAGAGACGCGTGCCGCCGCCGCACAACCTGCTCGGTAAAGGCCCACACTCCTGCTTCCTGTGAACTAGAGACGCATGACAGGAACGTGACAAGCATCGTGCGCGATCTCAGATAATACCCAACAGAGGGATGCGAATACAGTCTTGGAATTGGACATGTTCTGGACTGGCTCGTGGAAGTACTCGGTAAATGGGGATGGAGATTTGGATGTGTGTTGTGGAAGAATAATGTAGCTCAGATACCTGGACAGGCGTTCAATCATTGCAATGCTCACTTATACTACTATCTATATAGAACGTTCTTTTTTGAGTGAACAGTTGGTGCATCTCATCTGCAGGGCTGCCAAGACACGATCGCGCTACGGGCAATGCCCGAGAATCTCTCGAACTCCGCAACCCCAGTCCAATATCACATCACAGCAACCATGGTGCACATATTGAAGCGCATGCGCAAGCTACGCGAGGCAAGTAGCTAATCTCCGAGAGCATGTCTACTCGTTCGGCAAGACTAACAAGCACCACAGCACGTACGTAAGATCCACCTCCGCAGACACCTCCGAAAACGTCGAAGCCTACAATCGCACCCGACCTGCTCGAGATACCGGAGATGTAACAATGCTGACAACTATGTCTATGACAGTTATTATGGATAAGATGTGGACCAGGCGCGCTCATACTGCCCAAAGAGGTGTCGAAGATTAGCATGGAATTCAACACAAAACTCTACGGAGGACATAGAGGGGCAAGGTATGTTGGTATTGCTCTGTTATAAGTACCCGAGGAGGGCAAAGAATATGAGGCCAATTCAGACGCCATGTTTGAGAGCTGGCAATTATACGGAATGACAAGATCAAGCGCTTACTCTACGAACAGGAAATTCTGGCGCAATATGCTGCCCCGGATGAAATACCGTAATCCATCCATCCCAATGGAAGTCGCGCGACACAACGACCCCGACGGTCCCTCGCTCCTACACATCTTCACAGCAACCAAAACACAGCCATCGGCTGGCTCTACCAACTCTCCTACAACACAACAATCAGACGCTTCACCACCGTCGGCCACACCAAACCCGCGCAATACGCTCGTACCCGATACCTCGAAACCTACGTTTTCGATTGACATGAGAGACCAGTCGGAGAGCGAGATCTTGGAGGCACTGGTGGAGAAGATAGGCGCAGTGGAGATCAAGCCGACGGAGGAGGAGTTGGCCGAGATGAAGGAGATTGAGGAGTTCAAGGAGAGGTCAGAGGCGGATAGAGTGCTGGTTAGGGAGAAGTTGCTGAAGGAGCGGAGAGAGGCTGAGCTGCTCAAGTTGGCGAGGGGTGAGGCACCGGCTGCGAACTAAGTGTGTGGTCTGGGAGAAGTCACCGAGGATTAACATGAGAAACACGAGGAGGCGAGGCTATGTGGTCTTCTACCAGCAATTGGACTGCAATCTAGCGGCTTCAGGCTGAGACATTGTAACATATGTATATTGTATGGCATACCCACGACGTCAATACGAGACCATGTGCCCAATGATTATGACATGTTGGTGCTCGTCGATGCATAGGGCAGCGGCTTCTGCGCAGAGGACGGCCTTCGTTCTCGAATATGCGTCTAGGCATGTTTCGCACATCAAGCGCATTCACATGACTTCGCGCATGATGCATTTCCTCCAAAACGCGTAAACGCGTCCGTCGCGCCTTTTGAGCGAGACTCATGCAAAGCTCCCAGACTTCACGATCAACCAGCGCAAAGCTGCGCAATCGCATAAGCATCACTCATGAAGATGGCATGTAGCCGACTGGGTTAGTCCCAAGCATCAGTGGCCAACGGCCTAGCAAAAGGGAAACGGAATCAGTCTGCCTGACAGACAACCATACACCGAGCTCGAACCGCGTGAACGGTGAGCTCAGGCTGCCGGAAGCTGCCAAAGTTGCTCTGCGCTGCCTGTCGTCCGAAGCGTTCTATTGAGGAAGAAGGCTCCATGATGGACGAACTGTCAACATCTCGACCGTCACACGGCTCCCCGAAAGGACGTGGACAGGAGACGTTGACACAGGGCGTTGTGGTGAGAACTCGATGGGTGAGGGCGCGCAACTTTTTTTATGTCGCTCGGCTGAACGCCGGCGCGCTAGTGGGTAGTGGCTTGGCGGCAAATGTGTGGGCGGAGGTGCGATGTTGCCCGCAGGTCACGGGCAGGCACCCATCACCGAACTTCACCTTTGGGGAATACTGAGTGTGCTTTCACTCTTTGCGACGACCACTTCTGCACACTGCTCGAAAGTGCACTGAAGATCCTGAACCTCCGGCGCCGTCACAACTTTCCTTCCAGGACCATAAACCTCTGCGTTGCGACAGGACATCACGACCGCATCAGCCATGGCGGACCTATCCATCGACGAGGCGAACAAGATTCGTCTGTCTATGGGCCTCTCCGCTCTCCCCGGTGGAAGCACGCCTGCAGCACCCGCAGCCCCCGGCCTGGACTTCAAGGCGGCGCAAAATGGCGACGACTCAGACGAAGAGCCGGCGAGCACCATCGACACGCGCCAGGCCGCCGCTTCGGACAATTGGAAGAAATTGGAAGAAGCGCGACTGGCCAAGATAAGACGTGAAGAACGCGCCGCGGCGATCAAGAAGGAGCGCGAAAAGGCGGCGCGCTTTGCAAAGCTCGAGGGCAAGGGGCTGGCGGACGAAGCAGACGTCGACGATGACCTGGCCTGGCTGAAGAGCAGCAAGAAGCGCCAGAAGAAGATTGCCAAGGAGGAGCAGATGCGCAAAGAGCTCGAAGAACGCGAGCGCCAGGCACTCGAGGCCATGCAATATACCGACAAGGACCTTGCTGGTGTCAAAGTCGGACACGAGGTCGACCAGTTCGACGATGAGGACCAGATCCTCGTTCTCAAGGACACTGCCGTCGATGCGGAAGACGATGACGAGCTAGAGGCGGTTGAACTCAGAGAAAAGGAGCGACTACAAGAGCGACTCGATTCGAAGAAGCGAAAGCGCGCATACGACCCCAACGATCTGGACGAGGGAGGCCAGAAGTCGATACTTGCACAGTACGACGAGGAGATTGAGGGCAAGAAGCGCAATGCGTTCACATTGGACGGGAAGGGCCGAACTGTTGAAGACGTGCAGGCTGAAGTCGCAGGTTCTTCAAGACCAAAGAAGGTCGCGATCAGTCTAGACATACTCAAAGAGGACGCGCCCACTAACGATTACATGGACGTGTCGGAAGTCAAGATGAAGAAGCCTAAGAAGAAGAAGGGCAAGAAATCCAAGCGAGAACGCGTCGAAGATGATGAGGAAATGCTTGCCATGCCTGCGGAAGACACTGCAGCTGGCGACGACATGGACATTGACGGTGGTGAATCCTCCGCACCACAACAGAAGAAGAAGAAGGTGTTCGACGAGTCGTTTGTGGATGACGACGACCTTCAAGCGAATCTTGCAGCACAGCGCCAAAAGGCCCTCAAGAAGCGCAAGAAGATGCGACCGGAAGATCTTGCACGGCAATTACGTGAAGACGCATCAACACCCCAGCCAGACGTTATGGAATCCACAGAAGATGGTGATGGCGGCCTTGTTATTGACGAAACAACCGAGTTCGTACAAAATCTAGGTGCTGCAGGCGATGCCGACGAGGAGGAAGCCCGCCGGAAGCGTAGAAAGTCCAGCCACATCTCGGAGGGCACGAAGTCCATGGGCGATATGCCCGTCGCTGATGAAGACGGCGATGTCGAAATGGGCCAATCCTACGCTGAAGCAGCCGAAGCAGAAGAGGCCCGAAACCGCAGCATCTCGCGCGCTCGCTCCACCGACATTACTGAGACAGGTCTCGAGGCAGAGAAGACTGTCGACCAAGGTATGGGTGCCACTCTCGCCCTGCTCAAGCAACGAGGTCTGGTCACAGAATCCGACGCCTCCGACAAGAACGCGATGTACCGCGACCGCCAAAAGTTCATTGCCGACAAGAAAAAGGCCGAAGATGACGCCGAGCGCCAACGCAAGATCGCCCGTGAGCGCGAACGAGGTTCCGCCCGCTGGAACAACATGACGCCGCGCGAGCGCGAAGAATGGGCCCGCAAAAACAACACGAGCGCCGAGATGGTCGAGAGTCGCCGTCTTGCTGAGCTCTTTAACAAGGAGTACACGCCCAACATTGAGCTCAAGTATGTTGACGAACACGGCCGCCACATGAACCAGAAAGAAGCCTTCAAGCAGCTCAGTCACCAGTTCCACGGCAAGGGTAGTGGAAACACGAAGACGAAGAAGCAACTTGATAAGGTTGCTGCTGAGAAGAAGAAGATGGCTGAGAGTTCGCTTGAGGCTAGTAGGAGTGGGGGTGGTGGGTTGGGGAATGCGTTTGATGATCAGGCCAAGAAGAAGGGTACTGCTGGTGTTCGCCTGCAGTAAAGCTTGGATGATCGAATACTCGACGATGTCCAAGTCGCTAACAGCAAAGGCGGTATCCGTGACTGATGAAAGATGATCGAATGGCATTGCCGTGGGCTTGAAAGGTCAGTAAGTTCCTGAAGCTGTACATTAGAAACTTTATCATTAATGCGAATCGCGAAAATAGAACGTCCCCCATCGACAGTGATGATGGTATGCACTCCTGTATGTGCACCCTACTGATTTTAGGATACTCATATGTGCATTGTTGTCCCTTTGACTCGCATGACTGGCATCTCACCCAGTCATGCTCATCGTATCATGACAGCGTAAGTGCGTGTTCCACGTCGATGTATAGTCATGTCTATGCTGATGCCCCATCTTTATGTTATGGACCACCAACACCAACACGAACAATGCATTGTCAGACTCCATTGTGACTCTGAATGACCCTCTCTTCGGTATGATCTCTGCGTCAGAACATGTATATAGCTGCACATCTGTGCCACAGAATCAAAGGCGTGTTATATCGAAAACCTACAACGTTCTCATCATGGTCCAATACCTACCAAATCAGATTGATGCTGCCAATCTAGCATACCACTACACTGCAGAGCAGACAGCTTACGGAATCTATTATCGTCGAAACGGAAATGACGATCAATTCCCAGCAGGGTTCTACGAATCCGAAAGGTGTGTGTCCATGTGCCATTGTATCCATGTCTAATTATCATATCAGAACTGGCAGTCACCCGGTTTCCAGTCAACCAGCTTCCAATGTCTCAAACTCATTGCCGACCATCGCTCTGAGCATTTGTGTCTTTAAGGGTTTCCCGCTAGATTACCAAAAATACCGACACGCTGGTCTTTGTCTCCGGCCTGACGACGGAGGAACAGCCATGATGATTCACACTACCGGGCCAAACACGGCATATGAGCTCCAAACGAAGGATAACTTTATCCCGAGCAAGAGTCTCAGCTTCGCCAAAGAAGTCACTGTTGGAACAATACGGACACCAATGACCAAGGCTCGATTAGCAGCTCTCATCTACGAAACGCCGATCGACAATCGCAACGCCGAATTCAACTGTCTTATCTGGGTAGGAGACGCTCTCGAAAGACTGGCCGCAGCTGGGTATATAACCAAGGAGGAGTGTACCGGTGGTATTGACAAGATGGTGGAAGCGACCATGGAAGCAGAGGAGGAGCCAGAACCTGGTGACCCTGCTTAAGGCTTTTGCCATCGCATGATAGCTTGGTGGTATGCAAGCTCATTGTCATAACATTGGGGGAATATTTCCTTTGCACGATCTTTCCAATCTTTGTACTTGCACGGTCGCTCGAAGAATTTGATATAGTCCCAATGCTCAGGATACCACCCTGCATTCTCCCAATCTATCAGCCCTGTGATGTGACCATCTTTGACCATGATGTTGTGTTGCGCAAGATCGCCATGCGAGAATACAATACGATGGTTGCTACGCAGTTGTTGATGCAGCGCAGTGCGGATTGGGGCTGGTGTAGAACCCACGAGATCGAAATATAGTGAGGCGTTGAATGCAGTCTCGTCTGGATACGGCCCTCCATTGTAGTGACTATATTGGCGATCGTCACGGGCTTTCCCACCAGAGCAAGATCCAATGAATTCGGTCTTAGATGGTATTGATCTCATGGTCGTGAGGATTTCTCGTAGCTGTTGGCATATATGGTCTTTCTCTTCCACCGTCATTTGAGGCCAAACTTCATCAAGTCCATCACCCTCGATAAACTCCATTTGAATGAAGGTTTCTCCACATTTCTCGCCTGCGCCGTATACGTGTGGAACAGGAAGGCCATACTGCGTGGCAAGTTCGAGTGCCGATTGCTCATCGATATTGATACGCCTGCCTCTCTTGATGACTGTACCGTCGGGCTGTCGCGTAACGAGACACCCGGGCATGTTGTGAAGAATTTCAATGTCTGCTTTCTTAGTATTATACCTAGGTATCAAACCTGACTCAGTTGAAACTCACTTTCTCCGTTCACGCTCGTCGTGCTTAATGGAACTGATGCCATTCTTCCTGTTCTCACGCTGACAAAGACACCTAGGTACTCGAGGGCGCACTGTACGTAGGTACGTAGGTATGCAATATCTTATCGTGCTAATGGCTTCGATCAAGCCCTTGAGGGATTGAGGGGTTGAGTCAACGAATTTGGGCACGTGGCAGTAAAGTACCTAAGTATTAGCTCTGACTTTGTCGCGTCTAACTTGTTGTTGGAACACAGCCCGAAGCAGTGTGCAAGAGATGGTCATCGCACAGTATCCGGGTATGCTGGGCCTTCGGGGTCGGCGCTGCAGCGTCGCCGATTGTTCCCGGGCGCTCTGAAGTGCCCATCATTGAACTCGTGCGCAGCTCGTGCGCGACTTCTGCGCAACCTTCCCTACCTAGGTAGGCTCGCAAACATATATATTTCAATAGGAAGCGGAACAACCCGTGGTACTTACCAGCGCTGTAGCGCTACCTGAATGGATATGCAAATCGGCGGGAAACGTTCCAGAGCTTGTGCCAACGCCTGCGCACCCCGCACTCCCTCGCCATCGAGTCCGTTGTCGCGATTTCACTACTCTCATGAAGTAGCTCAACAGCCACATGATACAGTATTAGCAGAAGTTAACGTCATATTTAGCCCATGATAAGAAGGCTACCTGCACGGAAAAGCTATGGATCCGATCTTCCTTCACCAGACGGAATCACCAGTCAGCTCTACAAAATCGCCTTCTCCCCAGATCCACGTACCCTTCAGTGCTGGTTCCCAACTCACCAAGTCATCGAAAACTGCTTTCGTGGATTTAGTATAATCTGGACAAATCAGAGGCTCCTGACGAAAATACTCTCTGGTATCCGAAGCCAGAAGTAGCAAAGCGAAGAGCTTGTCTCGAGGGTCTGAGGCTTTAAACTTGTTCGTAGAGACTAGGAGGTCCCTGATTCCTGGGTCCGAGTTTCCCTCGTCTCTGAAAACAAGATGTTGCCATGAGTATCGGATTACGTCACAGGAAGAAGAGGTAGCAGGTTCGGAGTTGCGCGGCAGGCTGTCTAGATGATGGACCAAAGGTAGTATGATATCGAGCATCTCTTCCCAGCTCACCACATTATCGCCAATTCTGAGGTCAACTTTACGACCGCCTCGCTCACTTTTGGGGGCCAGAAGGACCTCTTGCACAACCCAAATTCGGCTCCACCATGGCCGATCAAACAGTCTCTCGAAGCTGGTCCACAGTGCCTTCTTGTACCAGCCAGGCGAGCTCATATCCACACATTCTTCATGAAGATCGAGTGCAAGTTGGCGGAGCACTTCGTCTTCAGCAAGACCAGTCCAGAAAGGATGTGTGTTCTCACACATTGCGACGTAAAGGTCCATGATAATGATCTCACCATGAGCTTTCGTCATAGGGAGTAGGTGTGCCGTCCATGCTCTCATGAGAAATCGGCTGTACTTGTCTTCTAGTCCCAGCCATACCAACACTGCCTCGGCCGATGAAAAGATATTGCCCATGGACTGGACTTGATGCATCTTTTCGGGCAAGTCTTTCTGGTTGATGCACAGAGCATCTATCCACAGGCACTGTTTGCTCTCGTTCCGCAAGAATGTGAGCGCCGTGTGAAGGTTCCGGGTAATTCGGAACGGCACACTGATTGGTTGCTGACATGCGCCTGATGAAGTCATCGACTGGCCATGCAGTTGGATCTCAACGGTGTCTTTCGTATTTCCCCAACAATAGGACAGCGCTACGTATGGTCTGCGACTTTCAGATTCCCCGCTTATGTTTGTATACACCAACTCGCATTCGATAGGGTCGTTCCCATGTCCCGGTCTCAGAATAACGCATCGTATCTCTTTCGACTCAGGGTTCAATGGTAGGAAGGCGGCATCATCGTTCTTGACGCCGCGGAAAGGTAGATATAGTCGATATGGAGTTTGCAATGACGAAGTCATTGAAGGTTAAGTATTACATTTCTCTGGTTAGTTTCACAAAATAGTCGGAAAAATGGGGAGTAACACTTGATGAAATATTCGGATTTAGTGAGGCTGCTCAGATACATACAGATGTAGTGTGGTGGCTGTGCCAACTCATTACATCACCTACGCACACCGCCTGTTCCTTCTTTATGAGAGTGCTCCATTCAGACAGCACGAACACTCAAGTAGCTCCAGGGACGTCCCAGACCTTACCGAAAGGGTCATGATGTGCATCCGTCTCACGGTTGTATTCCAAGGCCAAACTCAAGAAATGTGCAACCTCTTCCCCATACACGCGACTGACGAACGCGTATGTCCCGTCGATGCCTGCCGAGACTCCACTGGTCGAGATAATATTGCCGTCTTCTACCCAACGCGCAGTCGGCACCCAGTCTACATTGGGACCAGTCGATGTAGCCCAAGTCCAGGCAGCCTTATTCGTGGTTGCCCTGCGACCGTCGAGGATACCTGCACGGGACAGGAGTGTGGCGCCGGTACAGACGGATATGATATATTTGAGCGGTGAGGTTGTCAGCTAGTGATTGGAAGGGAGGGTCAGGGGAATATGCATACACTTGGGTAGGTAGCCTTGACGAAGTTGATCTCTTCCGTCATATCTCTGCGAGTCCCTCCACCGCCAGGGACGATGAGGACGTCGATTGCGCCCTTGTCACCTGCAGAGGGTATGTCGTCATCACCGTGGTCCTTCTGCTTGTTCTTCGTCCAATCAGTCTTATTCATATCCACATAACGGTCGCAACTCACCAGATACTCCGAAAATGTCATGGCCGGCATGATCTCTTGACCAAAACCTCCATCGGTCATAGCCGACGTCACCGGATCCATGGTCTTGCTGAAGACTGTAAACCGCGGCACAATGGAGGTGTTTCGGTAGTACATGAAGAGCGAGTTAAGGACGTCCATGGGGCCGAAGATGTCGAGAGCTTGGAAGTGTGGAAACGTGAGTAGACCGAAGTGAGTGGGTAGAGTTGTGGTGTTGGCGATCTCGGGTTGGCTCGGTCTTGCAAGAGTTGAGCGTATGGCTAACAGAGCCGGGAGCAGAATTGAGTATCGCATGTTTAGAGATTTGTAGTTGATAAATATTGAGGTGCAGAAGAGAGTGGACCAGAAGTAGCGAGTCAAAAGTAGGAGGAGATCTGAAGGGGCAACCAAGTGGGGACCCAAGTAGAAGAGAGGCCTTCAAACAAAGACCGCGGTGTACCTGCGGCTCTGAACTGGGTCTTCTGACTATTCGACGTTTCTATGAGGAATTCACTAGAGTTTTTATACTCCTAATTTCGTTGAACATCTTAAAACCGAAATCTCCACATGGATGCCCGAAGCCGGCACTTTGGCTGCAGTGTAATCTAAGTCGCATGGTTGTATTGGTTCTAATGCGCTCATAAGCCTCGCCGAGCAATGATTGAGGTACAGGAGGATCAGGCGGATGCGAAGATCACACACCTCCGATGTCGAGAACGAACAACTTCGTAAGGCATCCAATGTTTGAGAAGATATGAGCGAGTTGCGAAGATTTCAACTACACTGGTTTAAGCGACTGCTGATCATCTTGACAATTCGCATCCACCGATGACTTGTATCGCCAGTCAGCTTTCAGTGTTCGCGAGGTGTCCAATAGCTTTGGCGAGCCGCCAGGGCGTAATAGATTGAGGATGAGCGGTCAGCCCTTTCGATAATTAATCAGGAATGTGGGGTATCATGGGTTTCTGGTATCGCAGCATGCCAAGGAAGTCGATTCCGGGTCTTTGGATATGTCATGTGCCTGTCCGCGACGCGGTTGCCAGATGATCGAGCAGGTGCCGCGATGCATGCATGTAGTTAGAGTACTTCGGGCCAGCAATGTCGATGTGCGTCTAGCGTGGTCCCAGGTAGTCGCGCTCCAGCATGATTCTATATTTCTTTTCGCGGACCGGCTTAGACGATCGCATCCGGGTCCTGTGTCTGAATTCGCCAGCCTCCTCTGCCGACCGGCATGCACACTGCATGTCGCACTTCCCAAGCTTCACCTGGCCCGTTCGCATCATGCGAACATGGCTTGATGTGCACCGAGATGAAGACACGTCCTGGGATCTGTGTTTGTGAAGTCGTTGGGTAGGCCAGCGGGTTGTCGCAAACAGTGCAACGTATGTCAATCAGACCTGCCTAATCAAAAGACGAGGTCGACATGAAGAGAAGATGTGAAGGAAACAATGATTAGTCAGAGACGTGATCGAGAGGCAGCATCGAGGATGTAGATCTCGCGCCAAGCCAGCGGGTTCCTGCGATAATGACGTAGCTTGAGCCGCGCGTGATCCCAGCTTGAAATCTGCACAGCAATCGGTATCTTTCAGCCTCCTGCATTCGAGAACCCCATCATCAAATCGCGCCTCTATAGAGTTACCTGACATTCTTGTGTAGCCTTGCGCGTTAGTGTCGACATAACCAGCAACAGCCCTGCGCCCCAATGCATGCGAAAGCTCGTTATAGCAATTCGGCCTCACAGAGGTAGTACATTCCGCGACGATGCCATCAACCCGGCCAGGCCTTGATGCGCGCAGGTCAACGCTTCGTAGGTAACATCCTATACGGAATAGATAGGATACATATACTGACTGGTACATCCCCATGTAGATTACACGACCTTCCCAACTATCCCCCCTAAATCCCGCGGCCGACCACCATCTGACGCCCCGTCCGGTCAAGATGGTAACCGTTCCGAAGACGGCAGCCATACCCACCATGAAAAGCCCCTACCGACGAAGCAGCTCATCGTGCTAGCTGTCATAGCTCTCGCTGAGCAAACGGCGCTCAACTCAATAGGCCCTTATCTGCCTGAGATGACGAAATCGTTTTCCGCTGTCAAGGATGGACAGACAGGTCTATACGTCGGACTCATCGCGTCGTCTTTCGCGTTGGCACAATTCACAACAAATTTCTTTTGGGGCTGGCTGTCGGATAAGATCGGACGAAAGCCGGTAATAATCACGGGCACATTTTTGACCATGTGCTGTTTTCTGGCCTTTGGCTTCTGCAGGGAGCTATGGCAAGCTATACTCGTGCAGGCCCTGATGGGCTTGGTCAACGGAAACTCTGGCGTTGTGTCGACGTGTTTGGGCGAGATTACGGATCGAAGCAACCAATCGCGCGCATTTACCTATCTGCCCGTCGTCTACGGTATCGGTGGCATAACGGGACCGATCGTAGGAGGACTCTTGGTGCTTTATCAGAACCCGTTCAACAAGAGCCAGTCGAATCCCTACCCGTACCTCCTCCCGAACCTCTTTTCGGCCCTCGTCCTCGCGATAGACCTGATAGTGTGTATGCTCTTCTTGGAGGAGAGTTTGGAAGAAGCCAAGAATCTGCCACCTCTCGGAAAGAGACTGGGCAACTTGTTCTCATGGATGTGGCAGTTCTCGAGCTCCACGCGACCTACCTACGTACGACGCCTCCTAGGCAATCACAAAACCCACAACTCACACGGTGGTGTGGACGATGTAGACGAGGACGACGCATCCGATGCCTCTGAGGAATCTGCGCCTACACTATTCCCACACAGTAGCGGCGACGAACTTACACGGAAGGAGATCTTGAACCGGGACACAGTCCTGCTTCTCATAACGTACTTCATATTCCAGCTCGCTAATATCTCCTACAATTCTCTGTATCCAATCTTCGCGGAAGAGCAACCACCTACTGGACGCGGGCTGAAGCCTGAGGCTGTCGGACTATCTCTGTCATTCGCAGGCGCTATAACGATACTGTTCCAGGTGGGCATATTTGGCAGGCTTCGAGACAAGATGGGCAACAAGATGGGGTACAGAGTCAGCTTAGGGCTGTTCATTGCAGCCTTCGGTCTCATGCCGTTTGTGGGCTACAAAGAGAGCAACGGATACAAGGGCATTGGTACGGGTGCTGGTTGGTTGTGGTTTGAGCTCGGCGTTGTGCTGGTTATCAAAACGATTGCAGGTGTCGGTGGCCTGACAGCTGCACTCCTTATGGTAAGTTACTCTAATTCCAACATGACGCGCTCTACGGATGCTGACATTATGCAGATCACTAACTCCGCACCCAATCACAACGTGCTCGGTACGCTGAATGGCCTCGCTCAGACGCTCTCTGCTGCTGGTCGTGCTGCCGGACCCTTCGTGTCAGGTTCGCTTTTCACAGCAGCTACCAAGTTGAAGCCCAAAGGTGAAGCCCTGCCTTTTGGCATTTTCGCTGGTATCGCACTCCTCGGTTTCCTTTTGAGCTTCGGTATCCGTGGCGATGGACTGGAAGCCGAAGGGTGGAGCGAAGATGATAGCGAAGACGAAGATGAAGAGGAGGAGATTGGCGAGGGCGCGAATGAACGGACTGGTCTGATACGGAAGTGAAGACTTCATCGTACTTGGTGCATTTTCAGCATACTTGCATGGCTTAGGCCCCCCGAACCTTGTCTATCAGCGCGGCGTTCATATGGCGGATCTAGAAATCGTTTGCTGGCCGTAGTTTTAGCCAATACAATATCAATATTCTTTGAACATCCGTTGTGACTGTTGCGGTGACTGCAGGCAAACAACATTTTCCAAGTTGGAGGACACATGACGACCTGTGAGACTTTTCCATGGGTGAGGCAAGCTCGGTATGTTTACTGCATGGGGGTCAAAATGGCTGTATTTGCGGTTCCTCCCGTCTGCAAATAGCGGGCCTCATGTAAGCACATCAGGCGAGCTGTTAGAGATGGGGCGTGAGGTGCATGAGCATGCACCTCTGGATCACCGGGTACCACGTTCGGCCCAGTATTGTGAGATTCTGAGGATGAGTGGAGCGCGTAAGACCGGGAGCGAGGAGGAAGTGATATCTGCGCAACGCTGGCTTGGTGAGGTTTGATGGTTGCCGAAAGAGGTTGTGGATGCAAAAGGGCGCTGTAGAGGCGACGTAGAACGCCGAGCTGATCGGCTGCGGACGGGTGATCGTGAGCTGCGTACGAGTGTTACTGCAGCACCTCTACCAATGCACGACAAAGAAATGCGTTTCAACTGCAGCAGCGATGACTTCGTCTTACGAAGAGGCTAGCTGGCGAGGCACCTCCACCACAGACTCGACGCTGGACGCCTGCACCGCTAGCGGCCCGTCTACGGATCTCAGGGCTGAGCTGACTCTCCTATCTTCCACACCGTCTAATTCGACACACCGGCGCGCCAAGCTTCACGTGGAGGCAATGATTGGACCGACGTACGCTACAACCAGTACTCCAGCATCTGTGCTCTTCCGATCCACGATAGCGCTGTCAGCATTGTTGCGCTGGCTTGCTGCTGAGCCCGACCCGCGCAGGCTTGGTGGTGAAAGCTTCCTCCGGCTTAGCACGACCTAACCCGCCATGCGTGCTCCGCCAGCGCAGACCGTGTAACGCGCCGCTATGCGGTGCTATTGGTACCGTTGCTAGCGGACTCAAGGCGGAACCGTACTTGCTGGCCTGGGCCTCCAGCCCCAAGATAGAACATGCGCCATAGCTTGCGGGGCTATCTCGTGTCGCGTGTAGTATGCGAATTGGGATTTGCATAAGACTCACTGCGGCGCCGAAAGCAGCTCGTATTTGTCTTGGTAGTCTTGTCCGTCTGTCTTTGATTTAACCTCGCTGCTCCTTTCCTGACCGTTGGAGTTGAGTTGTGGTTGTTTCTCGTCGACTTTGTGGGAAACTGGCATCATGGGCTGGACTTTTCACGGCCACAAACGCGATGTTGATGCCGAAAAGCATCTTAGACGGCTGCACAAGACAACACCGTTTATCGAATCCCCGCTAGTTGGTGCCGATCACGAACACCTCGTCTTCTCTCAACGGCACGAAGCGAATAGCGTGGAACTTTTCTTCGACTTGTTCTTTGTTGCTAATCTTGCGACGTTTACGGCATACCACTCTATTACCGACATCGACTACCTACTGGCATATATCGGTTTCTTTGGCATCTTGTGGTCGTGCTGGTTCCAGATCACGCTCCATGATGTACGATTTGCGCGGGACTCGCTCTATGAGCGCGTGTGCAAAACGATTCAATTCATCGTCTTTGTCGGTCTGGCGCTAGTCGGAAGCCAGTTCAACCCAGCAAGCGCGAAAGGTCAAGGGAACAACACTGTAAGTTTATTACTCACATTGAAGCAAAAGGTATACTAAGCCATGTAGAACTTCCGTATCCTATGCTACACCCTAGTCATAAGCCGTGGTCTTCTCGCCATCCAGTATCTTGTGGTACTCTTCTTCACTTGGAGAGCGAAGTATACCAAGATCTACCTCCCGATCATTCTTATGTTCGCCGTCTATGCGATCAGTATGGGTGCATTCGCTGGCATGACACCCGCCTTCAAGGTTGAGGGCGATCATCGTAGACGCCTAGTCTACCTTGTTTGGTACGTCGTCATGGTGCTTGAAGCCATCGCAGTCGTTGCTATATCGTGCTTCTGGCGCATGATGAGTTTCAAAAAGACCCACTTGATGGAGCGCATGAGCTTGTTGACAATCATCGTTATTGGCGAGGGTGCAATTGGTGTCACAAAGACAGTTAGCAGGATGATGGGGAAGCACGGATTGGAAGTTGAGGGATGCTTCTTAATCATGTGCATCATCGTTGTTCTTGTGTTGATTTGGGCTCTGTAAGTATATGCAGGTATGGAAGACATGACGCATGTGAGCTAACAGTACCCAGGTACTTCGACAACTTTCCCCACGGTCACTATGGAACCATTCGTCAGCAAATCTGGTCACTGTTACATTTTCCCTTTCAACTTGCTATTGTCGGTGTCGTGGAAGGCTCGCAGCAAGTTGCTCTGGCCCGCTACGTTGCTAAAAATACCAGGAAAGTTACTACTTCCATCCTCCAATACTGCCAAACGGATCATCTCGACGGCCAAAAACTACAAGACAAGCTGCAGTACCTTTTAGAGTATTTCGAGCTCGACAGCAAGTATGAGACTAAGAGCTTCTACAACCAAGCTCAGACGGCTATCTGGAGTGTCGGTAACGCTACAAACATCTGCTCGCAACAAAACACCACAGAGTACAACATGGGCGAGGAAGATGACGACTGGCCCGGAGCACTCAAGAACGTATCTCACCTTCTCAACAACGGCCTATACACTGGTCTCGGCATGAAGATCCCAGTCGACAAACTGAAGGACTACAGTCCCCTCGAGGTCGGTCTCAAAGGATTCGAGCTCGTCTATCTCTACTTCTGGTCGTCGTTCTGCCTCCTTCTCGTCTGTCTCATCATATTTCTTTTGTTAATTCGCCGCCACAAGGCCGACCTCTTCGACTTTACGTCCATCATATCCCGCAGTCTTACCCTCGGCGTTGGGGGCGCAATGTTGGCTCTGATGGCCGACACCGAGCGATTACATTCCGTCATTGAGTCACCTGCGCTCCTACCAATTTGCGTCGTGCTCCTCTTCCTCATCCTGGTCAGCGACAAGCTAAGCTCAATCTACTGCAACTGGAAACTCCAAAAGAGCGGGAAGCCATATGCGTTGGAGTACGAAGAGCCCGGACACCACGGACACGGACAGAGTCCTCATGGATCCGTGCACGAGACGGGTGCGGCACACGGGCATGTGCCGCACGACGCGGGGTTGGAAGAGATGCGCAATACGGCACGGTGGAGCACACGACCCGAAGACATGGTGCCGCTCACGGCACAAAGCACAGAATATGTCTCGCGGCCCCAAAGCTACGCTATGGAGCCGCTTGCTAGTCCGCCGATAACAAGCCCCCCGATGTCAAGCCACGATCCGCTGGCCCCCCAGGGATATATGGGTCACGCGCCAGCCGGATATGCAGCCGTGAGTACGGGACAAAACTACGGTGCGTAGGTTGTTATCGAGAACGGTGTGGTTCTAGATCTTCTTGTAATTTTCTGGTCATTTAGCAAGCGCGGCGTTGTCGTTTTGGAGAAGCGTCATTTGCACATCCGATATCCGGGGGACGGATGCGTCACAAAGATGGACATGGTGATATGGCGTTACCTGTTACAGCGTAATAATGAACTTTGCTACGGCGGGTTCAATAGTATTGAATGAAAAGCCTTTCAACCCTTACATAGCCCTAGTCACGGTGATCCCGAACGACGCTAAATCGACGGAACGAGATGTGTGGCGTAACGTCGACGCCTCACAAAGACGACTGACGTCGCTGCATCTTCAAATGTTTGCAAAATCCGCTCTTCATACTGACTGTTATGTCACGGTGGTGCGTGGTGCGTCGTTGTCGTTGAGGTGGCACAATCGTGTTGTATCGGCCCCGAACATAGTGACCGCGTGGCCAACAAACTGCAACACCAACATCCAACTGTATGTGTCATTCCTCACTCTTGTTATTTCCCGAGTAGTACCGCGGCAAAACCCCCACTATCTACCAGGAGTCATGGCTGATAAGAACCCACTAGTAGTAGCAGTGCAGACTGAGCTTGTAACGACTCACATAGCTGCACCCCCAGCATATCCATACGCTTTCCGCCGTGACTATATCTGCGGTCATCCTGACGAGTTCGTTCAAGTCTCAAAGCCAGCTGACCAGAAGGGAGTCTTACATACAGTCATAGATCCAAACCAAGTCGAGGGACAGAGTAAAGACTGGCCCATATACACGCTGGTACGGTGCCGACCGTGCGCAATCAGGTTACGTGAAGAGCATTGCAAGATGCAAGAGAGCGGTAAAGGAGAAAGAGTGAGATCCGTAGCGGTCTACCAAGGAGAGACGATGCGTCCCGATCGAGGATTGCTCAGTGAGGCTAGATCAGGGTTCGAGGCTGCGTTGAAGGAATTGGAACGCATCAGTTGTTGTGGGGGAGAAGAGGAGGAACAATGGCCATTGATGAATGAGATCGTCGGTAACGACGATGACTCTATCAGAGTGGTGAGGTTTCTTGATGGTCGTCGCAAGGTTGACTCGCCGGCATCTTCGCCTTCGCCGTTTGTCCATACTTTCGGCGACATGTGGCCGCTTCGGGGAGGCGGCGATGGTGAAGATATTGGCTGCTGGGCGAATTGCGAATCCTGTGGCGGAGGTCGCCGACGAAAAGATAGTGCTTTAGAGGTCCATCAGAACACCACGCCGAAGTCTAAGAGCGACAAGTGCACCGGTACGGAAACAGCGAAGCCACACGAATATCTCCAAGACCTTCATCTTGATGCTCCTCGCACGCCAATGGTGGTCACGCTCGGCCCAACAAGTGATTTGGACTGGCTGAGGTTTTCCTACCTGCTGCGCAATAAGAACCTGAGCTTTGACGACATTGCAGAGCTTGTATCGCGATATGTGCCCGATGGCGACAATCTCCCGGAAAACGATCTCGTGCAAGAGGAGGTTACAGCTGTCGGCGAGTCGGACGCGCACAACAGTACATGGCGGATTTCCGTACGTCGATCGGGAGTTGTTGAATGGGACGTGTCGACACTCGGGAAAGAAGGGCATGCTTCAACAACGAGCGGCGTTGGAAACGACAGAGTTCAGTCCAGTGAGCCAAGTTGCGGAGCGGAGGTTCTTAAGTCCAACGGCATAGACGTCTGCCACCACGGTCCACCTCAGCCCCCAAATCCTCCAGAGGCTGTGAGGATCGATGGAACGACGGAGCAGTCAGCCAGACAGGATGATGTCGAAGATCTAGACCAGTCTGATCATCGACGTTCCAGCGAAGACCATGAGATATCCCGATCATGTTTCTCATCAGATTCTTCGGCTGACTCGGTCGACTTTTCGAAAGCGGAAATTGGCATGCAGGTGACCAGGATGAGACCTACCATGTTATCCTGGCTGAGGCCAAAGAGAAAATACGACAGCCTCCAAGAAAACACACGACCAAACTCACCAGGTCCTAAGGAATCCTCTGTAGGCCTCTGGAAGCGAATCAGCAGAACAACATCCCACTCCACAATGAACACCACTCTGGTGGAGAAGTTTGACCAGAAGTTGCAAGCCAAACTCTCCAATACCAAGTTGCGAGCTTCTGGCGCGAGCCAGATACCAGCCAACGAATGCCATCCTGCGTTCAGGGAACAAGCCGACGCGTCAAACGCCCAACCAGATCTGTCCACCTCAGCTCACATCCTCAACGCCATGCGATCTCTCAACAGCCATCGCGCAAGCCAAAGTGTGCCTAGCGACACGAAGTCCCAAAAAGTGAGTCACAACTCTAGCTTCAGCAGACCCAGGCCTTGCAGCACTCACTCGACCAACATCATGCCATATGGTTTCCACCGGCCGTACAGGCCTAGCCCATTGAAGCACGTAACGCGTGTCACATCGCTGGACGTGAACAAAGGACTTCCGCCCCTGCCCCCGGAAGCGCGACGGCTCGCGCACCAGGCTTCACACGCGAGGTTGAAGGACCTGCAGGCTGTGAAGAAGGTGGATATTCGGAAGGCGATCAATGAGTATGTAGGTGAGATGGCGAAGGCGTATTGAATGATACAATCGTTACTTTCCCTCTGTTGATGTTGCTTGGTTCGCGTGCTTGCCTCGTGGACTGCTTGCGTGTGCTCGGCGATATCGGAGATCGAAGCTCGGAGTTGTGCTTATCAGATCGCCCTATAGCAAGCTTCCGCGAGCTGGTTGAATGCTCTTCCACCACCCCACCTCGATGCCATCCAATGACTGCTCAATGCTCTTCAGGCAGATGCATTATGAGATACGAGTCACATCTGGCATGCCCGACTGAACCGACATGATCTCTCTATAAAGACGCGTCAATCCGCGCCCCTAGAGCGCGTAACTAACCATCAACTAACTTCCATATCTGAAGCTCTAACAGCATCCTCACTATGCCGCAGCCAGGTCAATCTCACGAGAAAGACCCTCGATGGACAGCGGTTGACACCTACTCGTTCGGCCACCTTCACCCCTCCACGCGCATATCCCCCTCCCAATCCGCCCTCCAACACGCCCTCGACGCCTCCCAGCAAGCAGGCCTACCAGACATCGCCGTGTCGCCATCCCAGGGCAAATATCTCCAACTCACCGCACGCCTCGCACGTTCCAAAAACATCCTCGAAGTAGGCACATTGGGCGGATACAGCACCATCTGGCTCGCAACATCCAGTCCCAACGTAAAAGTAACAAGCGTCGAAGTCGATATGCACCACGCCAATGTCGCACGGTCGAATATCCAGAACGCGGGCTTGGAAGACAAAGTGGACGTCGTAGAAGGGCCTGGTATGGACGTTCTTCCTGCTCTGGCACAGCAGGTTAGAGACGGCAAGAGGCCGAAATTCGACTTCGTCTTCATCGACGCGGATAAGGAGAATAACTGGAACTATGTGGATATAGCGCTGGGTATGTGTGAGGCAGGTGCATGTGTTATTGTGGACAATGTGGTGCGGAAGGGGCAGTTGGCGGAAGAGACGGATGATCCGAGGATTGCTGGGGCGAAGAGGGTGGTGGAGAATGTGGGGAAGGATGAGAGGTTGGATGGCGTAGTGTTGCAGACGGTGGGGGAGAAGTCCTATGATGGGTTCTTGCTTGCTGTTGTGAAGTAGAAGGAGGGGTGAGGTCTGGAGTCTGCAGCATACATTATCATTATTCTTTCTACTACTGACGACTTATCTCTTCCTTATCAAGGCCTTTACTAGGGTATCTCATCCACCCTCCACTACCACCGAATCTGTGATCGCAGTATTGCGTCTAGATCGACTCTCTAGGTCTTCAGGATACTAGCAGCTACCAAAATCGCATCACTAGTCTTCTGCACCCACTCCTGCGCCAACTCCGCATCCTGATCAAACGTGATACTTTCCGTGATACCTGGGAACGTTACAGGCGCGTATCCTGTATCGCGCCCAGGAGCGAAGATAGTATGCTGATAGAACTCTCTGGTGGGCAGTCCACCCTGCGAAGTGAAGCCCCGGGAGAAGTCCCTCGCCTTGTGGTTCTGCACAGTGATGAGCTCCGTGTCATTCGCAGCAACAGCTTGATCTCTTAGATCGACAAACTCCTGGGCGGAGGTTTCGAATTGGGTGATAGCGGCAGTGAGGTTTGTAAGGTCAACGGTGAAGTTGCTGCTGCTGATATCCGTCTCGAGAGCTTCAAGGTAAGTGTTGAGCTCTGAGACGTAATCTGCTGGCTCAAGGGGCAGGACGGGGTCGGATACCATGTGGTACAAGAGGAGAGTGAGGAACTGGCCCATCGCCTTGTGGGTGACGAAGCCAGGGTCTCCAAACGTGGCCATCCAGTGGTAGGAGTCGTAGTTGCTGTGGTAAGGGTAAACGGGATCGTTTGGACCTAGAGATGGGTGTATGAAGTCAGTATCTGTCTCATACAATTTGTACAGAAATGTCACTGACCTCCGCCAGCACCCATATCGATGGATGCGATACCACGGTGGAGGAAAGCGGTATAGTCACTACCACTGCCGAGTACACCGACTTCACCGCTTTCGTGCGACCAGACATCGTACATGGTGAGACCGGTGTCGTTGCGGTAGGGGTACACGACCTTCTTCATCAGGCCGGTGGCGATGGCGTGTAAGTCTGGGGTTGCTGAAACGTCTGGGATTGGTCCACTGACAGCGACGTCGATGTTGAGGTAGGACACGGCGGCGTTCTTCAGCCAAGGGATGTACTCCTCCATCCACTCAGTACTATGATTTATCAGTACCCTGACTCGTTCATATAACATTTTAGTCTTACCTTCCAACAAGACCATACTCTTCGGCGTCCCAGCTGCAGAGTACAATGGTTCGCATTGGTTTCCAGCCTGTCTCGGCAAGAGCGCCGAAAGCCTTGGCCAGCTCGATAAGTACAGCGGATCCGGAATTGGGGTCGGCGGCACCGCCAACAATCCAAGCGTCACGATGGTTGCCCACAATGACGACCTCGTCTTCGTTCGTACCGTTGATGATGCCGACTGCGTTCCAGATGGTACCGTAGGTGTCGTTCATTACATTGCTCAATGAAAGCGATGCGCCGGATCCCTCGCCAGTGAAGTAGTCTACACCGGGGATAGCACCAACCCACCGCGTCCTGTTGACCTCGGTGCCGTTGGTTCCAAAGCCGTTGAGGGCTTGGAGAAGCGGTTGAGCCTCGATCCAGGAGATAGGCAGTGATGGAATTTGCGGGGTGATGTCGGTGCGATCTGCGCGTGGGGAGTCTGGCTTGGAGACGTAACCTGGAGTAGTTGGGTCGCCGGGATACGTAGACAAGAACTGGACAGATCCGCGTTGAACGGTTGAAGGGTTCCTCGCTCCGCCGTAGGGGTATGGAGCCACTCCCTTCGCTGAAAATTGTTAACGGGTAGTTTTGGAAAGAGGTCAAACACGCTCACCTTCAGTCATATTGCCGTCATCACCAGGATCGGTGAAGATCACAGCACCGATCATGCCGTGATCTTGTGCATTCTTGACTTTCAGCCCACGGAATGGTCCACCGTACTTTGCTAGAGCGATCTTGCCCTCAAGTTCGACACCAAGAGCTTCGAGGCGGTCAAAGTCGACCTGCTGGCCTCTTCCGACGTAAACGTATTCTGCAGATGCGTTGCCTGTGAAGCTGTAGCCATGGAAGACGGGGACACTGTTGGGATAGCTGGTGGTCTCGTCCTCTTCCAGTACATCTTCCATGAGGGTCGGGGTGTAAGTACTACCGTTGGAATAGGTAAGCTGTAGCGAGTTCGATACAGGATAGTTGAGGAAGACATCTGCGTCTTGTTAGTGCCTGCCGCAACGATTATCAACACTTTCATACAGTATTCGTCGAGCCTTGATGTGAAGCCATATTCAGACCATTTGTCAGCTGTCCACTGTGCTGTGCCAAGGATTAGTTGCATGTCGGATCGGTCCGGGAAAGGCTTCAAATACCCATTGACTCGTTCTGACCGGCCAAATGCTGGCCATGAGCTGCATTTTGTTAGCATACACTTTGTATCGAGCCCGAGAGCCATACTATAGTAGTACGACCATTCCGATATCGAGACGGAATCGAACGAGTTCAGCAAGATCTCCTCATTAGGCGTCAAGGCTGGAGGGAAGACGGATTGCCTCTTGACATGCTTATGCGGGTGATGGAAGAATGCACGTTCACGCTGACAGGCTTGAGCGCCAATGGCAGCGAGCGCTAGAAGTGCTGTTCTCATATTGACTGACAAATGCACACTTCACAGAGACAGAAGGGTACCGAACAACGATAGGTTGCATGGTACTTTAAGTACTCGCAGGCAGTTCCGTCGGCGTTCGGTACGATAACGTCAAGGCTTCCATTCCGAGGATAGCTGCTTCTACTGAACCTGGCGAGTTCCCTGCTCTCTCGTGCCATCGTATCCCGACATGCGGGTAGCTGTAGCTGGACGCAGGCACTGCGTAACCGCGAGGTATACAGGCAATTGGCTAACGCACTCCGGAAGGTCGAAGAGATATGAACGCGGGGCGGAGCATTAAGGTGCTTGGCAGAGAGGAATGACGATATAGGTGGTGGGGTAGCTTCTGAAATGAGGAAGAGATGCCGCTTCGATGCACGTATCTTCTGCGGTCAAAATCTGACGGTCAGATAGCAGATCGGAAAAGTGCGCATACCGACGCCGCCGTTCCGTGCACGTCGCCAGAGGCTGACCCGAAAGCCGTCCGAAGAAAAGTAACGGTGGTGGAAAGTATAATATGGTTCTGCGTAGACGGCACAGAGCAGAGGATGGCCGGTTGAAGTTGAATGCGGGGGAGTGCGGAGACGCGTGATGGGCGCGTCCTTATTCCGCGATGCACTTGGCAGCGTAGAAGAGACAGAATTAGAGCTCAGGAATGATGAACGGAGCATCTCACTTATATGTTTTCTGCGGTCCATCAAGGTACCATCTCAATGCGATGTCACGCAATGTTGGTGAGGGCGCAGGAGTCGAGTCCGAAAGTGATCTACGGCTAGCACGCTTTTGGGCTTAGTCATATCGAAAGGCGGGTGAACCAATGCAAGAGTGCACGGCGCAAGATGTTCGGCGAAGACTGCGTCAGTCAATAAACATTGGGCTGCCGGCAGCGCAAACACGGCGGCAACAGGAAGGAGACAAAGGACACGATTTACTGACCGTCGCATTGATAGCGACAAAGCCAGCCGCACCTTCTCTGTCTGAGACTCGTCTCCTTTGTACCTTCCCTGTCACCAGTCGCTCTTTCAACTTTTGCCAACCGCCATCATGGACGTCTTTCGGTCGCCTATGCGCATGATCCCGCCCCTCACACCCCGTCGCGTCCCATCACCAGCCATGTCGCCCGCCGGCAGACGAGGCAGAACGTATGGCAGCTCGGAAGAGACCCGCCTCCGCGACCTGTCGCCCGAGACGACCCTCCGCGCCTTCACACAAAAGCCCATGCCGTTCGACACAACACGCGACGAATACAAAATGTTTTCCTGCATCGAGACTCTCACCGCCGCCGAGAGGGACTTGGGATCGCGCGTCGCAAAGGCGGCGCAGCGGCTGAAGATATGGTGCGCCGAGATTGAGCAATGGGGGTGGTCGGGCAGCTTCGAGCAGCCCAGCGCCCAGGTCCGCGAGCAGAGGAGGAAGAGCATCGAGCTGCGCATCAGGGAGCACGTCGCCGATTCCGACATGGGCAATGTCATGCCGCCATTAGAATACTGGGGTTCGATGCTGTCGGTCGAGGTGGAGCAACACGAGGCGCGCCTCGACGACATCGCCGACGAGATGCTGAAGCTTGATGTCGAAGAGCTGAAGGAGCACGTGCTGGATATGCACCCGGCAGGCAGGTCGAGGCCGTCCTCTGCGGGCTACGAGGCCAATCGCCAGCACTACAAGGTCATGGACGACTTCTCCTTTCTCATCACCCAGACCCTCCTATCCGCCCTACCGCACCACGCCCAGCTCAAAGCCCGCCTAAGCACGTGGACCGCCCGCGTCTCCATCCTCCGCGAAGCCCCGCGTTACACCAGCGAACTCGATACGGCGCAAGAAGCTATGCGGCTAGGCTGGGATGCCATCGAGGCGCCAGCAGACACGTCCGACGCTGCATTTGAGCAGTGGAAAAAGGCAGTAGACACCATATCGCTTGTGCTTCATCAGAAGGTCAGCGACTTGGGGAGGCAACTAGACAAGATGCTCGACACACTCGAAGGACAGGAGGACAGTCTACCCGAGGACTGGATAGACGTCTTTGAAACTACAGAGAATGACTATGGGCAATGGAAACACGAATCAAGAAGGAGGATAATCGATCTCGAGGTTCGGAGACGGGTGGAAGGTTTTAACACTACCGGGAAGGGCGCCCCTGAACCTGCGCTACAACCAGAGGTCGATGCGGGTACGACTACGCATACAAGCGGCGAGCGGGTATTGACAACAGCATCCTCATCAGTCAATGCTGGTAACGATGTGTCCATTATCGCACCCACTGCGGCTGTGCAATCCGCTACTACGTCCAGATTGGATGCTCTCAATGCTCGAATCGACTCTGTCGCATCTACACTCCAATCGCCACCACCGAAGCTTGCTTCGCAGAGCAGCCGCCAGAACGCCATGCAGGATGACTACTTCAGTGCGCCCCAGCGTGGGATCTTCTCTGGAGACTATGCCATGAACGCATCGAGCAGCAGTAACTCAACACTTCATACCTCCATCGGCTCCAGCAACGCACGACAAGTCTCGGGTGAGACCGATGTTACCGAACACGAGCTGGCACAAGGTTTCGCGTCACCATCGAAGTCCCCTACTGCGACCACACATCTAGAGAAGATGAGCTTCGAACCAGGACCGGCCTCTGTTGACGAAGACTCGGAGTTCGAAGAAGGCGACACTGTTGTACAGTACGATCTTGATGAAGGCCCCGAAGAAGTCGCCATCCATACAGAGACTGACGACCATTCATCCCAAGCATCTTTACAAGGCAGGCCCAAACCTCTGGCGCTTTTCGGCAATCCCACGATTACAAAGAACGATGGACAGGACAGCCCCGTTATGGAGCCTCCTCAAACGCCGCGATCATGGAGAGGCAGTCTTAGTTCGCTGTCCACAGATATGTCGCCTGATTCAAGCCCACCTAGTACCATCGAGGAGTCTCCTTCAGTCCGAAACGCCACTAACCGTTCTATGAGAGCGCCACGCCCTGAACTGAATGCAGCCATGGCGAAGCGTCGGCCAGTCAAGACTACTACCACTGCTGATGACACATCAAGCGCTCCATGGCCACCGACGCACTTTGCTCAGAAAGCGAACAACAGCGCTGAAGAACTTGAGCGAAAGATCTCCGACATCCTCACGACTATCCCCGCCCACATTAGGCTTAGATCAGGCCCAGGCCCCGATGCGCCCGAAGTCAAGTCAGCGCGTGGCCTTCTCGCGAAAAGTAGTCGTGGATATTTACGCGCAGCTCGCTCAGTCAGCGGCCTCAAGTCTCCTGAGCTCACACTGTCCCCTGCAAAGACTGAATTCGAGTTGAACAACGCTGCTTCAGGACGGAGGTCGGCTGCAGCTGCGAGAGGCGACAACGATATCAAATTGTATCATCTCACACAACCTGGCAAAGAACAGCCGATCAAGCTGTTCATCCGCCGCGTTGGCGAGAATGGCGAGCGTGTCATGGTGCGTGTCGGCGGTGGTTGGTCTGACTTAGGCGAGTACCTGCGCCAGTACGCCGAGCACCACGGCCGCAGGACAGCAAGCGAAGGCAAATTTGAGGTACTGGGTCTGGAGGTGAAGAACCCCGATACTTCGCCGACGAGACCTGACAGCAGGGCGAGTAAGATGGAAAGACGCATCAGCGTTGGCTTTCCTCTGGCCAGCCCATCCACCACACCCGTCAAGTCATCTGGTCTAGCCTTTACAAGCGACGAAGCGCCACCGCCGATGCCCAGCTTCATTCCTGGAACACCAGGTGCCACTACTGAAGACCCGACGATACCCTCGACAACTTCGTCTCGCAGTTCCTGGCAGGGTAGGGAAGTCGGAATGGCGGGCCCATCAGCCAAGAAATTGGATCTCAGCGGCGAGAAGCTGGAGTGGATTGAGGGCATGATGAAGCAGGCTCGCACCGTGAGCAGCAACGTCATTACCTCAAGCCATCCAAATTTCGAGCGCACCGACAGTAGGAGTGACAGTCGCCCTGGCAGCGCTGTAGGGGGAAAGAAGACAGAATTTGGTGATTTAGGCAAGGTTGGTGCGACCAAGCGTGTCTTTATGAAGGGTGGTAAGCCCGGTTTGGGCGATCACTAGGTGAAAGAAAAAGAGAGAGAGAAGAGGTGGCTTTTAATATTCTACATTGATACCCTGGGCCTATATATTGTATTGTACTTTTTCTCGTTTGTTCACGGTTGGATCGGATTGGTACAGTTGGGTTCGGTTTGGTTTGGGCGTATGGTATCGCAGAGCAATGCCATTATAGACGGGCAGGCTTCGCAGCATATCTTAGCTGAGGTACATACCCCATGGCGTTATTTGGGATTCATAGATGGCAGCGTCACTAGCAAGTGATGAAGGGGGCGCGCGATTTCATTTGTGATTCCCAAGAATTAATTCATTACAAGTTTTGATAAGATGTGCCAAAGGCCTGTTTTCGTTCAAGCCACAGAGAGGATGCTCCAGGAGCAGGCAAGGTAGACGAAATGAGTGCCAATGGCAGGTAGCTCCACGTTCCACAAAGCCGACGAGCACAAAACGCGCAATGTCGATATGGAGGTCGTGGGCTGGTTCGATCTTCGCACGTAGACTAATCGACACAGTATTGAGGAATAACTTGTGGCAATTTAAGAAAGTGCGGAATTTGGAAAGTGTAGAACCAAGCATTGAGTGGAGGAAAACCGAAAAGCGACTGCATGCATTTCAGTCATGGCTATTCGTCATCGTCATCATTGTCACCTTGGACATCCATGACACGCTCGCCAGCTTTCTCAAGCGTTCGGCGACTCCATACACGGACTCCTTTGTATACTGCCTGGTCATTGTCAGCATTTGCACAATAATGTTCATCGCTTTCCACGTACCGCTAGAAATGTGCCAACACCGATGAGGATGATGATCCAGCTGACCTGCTCATATCTGTCTCGACCGGTCGTTCGACCTCGACCGCCTCCAATCCTGAAGTAAGATAGTGGGCTGGCGATGAGGACTTTCAAGAAACCAAGCACACCCATGCTAGCGAAGCCTTTCGCAAAGTGCTCGTACCAAGTGGCCGACTCATCCTCGTAGTAATAAGCGTAGTCAGATTCCGACGAGGAAAAGGGGGAGAAAAGGCTCCATGGGTCCAGATACAGGTTGATAATAGGATCTGCAACGAAGCCGAGGATGAACACGATGGATATCAATATAATGGCAGTCAAACCAACCTGAGCAGCTATAGTCCATATTAGCACTGCTCTGTTAAAGTGAAATGGAATACATACCAGCGCTGCCTATGAAACGCCCAACTCCTAAACGCGCAAGTCGGTACTTGAAGCCACAAGTCGGACACTGCCAGTAGTTCCTACGCCCATAGCTAGGGTCTGCATGCCTCCAAGCTTGCAAACAAGCTTCATGAACATACTTGGATGATCCCTTACACATACATGGACGGATCAGACGGCCACTTTCATCTTCGTACACAACGTTGGACGACTGTAAGAAGCCAGGAAGGCTTTGTGAGGGAACATTGAATGTCGGCTGAACTGTCTCGAGGCAGATTCTGCATTGTCTGGGCGGCCAGTGGGTGCGTCTTGAGCTGTGCGACTGCGATGAGGAGTTGTCGCTAGTATTGGAGGTGGCTGAAGGTGGCGGTTGCGATGTGGAACCTGTGGAGGGGGATGTCGCGTGGGCGGGTTCTGTCTTGGGCGCGTCATCAGGCCAGTACCAGCCTGGCATGGCCTGATATCCGGACGAAGAAGACATGGCGGGGTGTGAAACTGTAAAGGTACAAGGCGGAGGTTAATGCAGCTCTTACCAGTGATATAGCATGTGGGTAGGCATGAGATGACGAAGTGATCAATCAGGAAGCCGCGGGGAAGACATTCGCCAACTTAAGTGTCTCGGTAGTGCGGATCATGTTCCGACACCGCCTCCTTGGGCGGTATGACACTAGGGCCACGGTGGCAGGATGTTGTAAACGGGGTGGTGATGCAGAGGAGCAGTTCTGGAAGCTCAAAGAATTCGGGGTTGCAGCTTCCTCAGACAAACCGGAACTGTGGTTACGCCGAGCGCCGGTCTTGGCGCTTCCGGCGACGAAGCTCTGGGTAGCCTGGAGCTCTAGCAGATCGCCTCCAGTACCCGCGTCGTCTACCAACCCCACTGAACGTCCTCCCGCCGCCGACTACGCCCCTTCCTATATACCGCCTCTAGATTTTGTCAAGCAACCGTCATGGCGGACCGATACTCCTTCTCCCTGACCACTTTCTCCCCCAGGTAAACACTGCGCTATCGATTACGCACGACATGTTTGCTAACATTCATGTAGCGGAAAGCTGGTACAAATCGGTACGCGGCCCAGGGATATGACGATTCCCGCCTTCTTGTAGCAGACAGCATCTAATACCTGAACAGAGTATGCCTTGAACGCCGTCAACCAGGGTGTTACCTCACTAGGAATCAAGGGTGCGTTATATCGTTCATTAGCCCCCCAACAGCGCTGACTAGAGCTCGCAGCCACCAACGGCATTGTCCTCGCTACCGAGAAGAAATCGTCATCGCCGCTCATCGACTCGCAATCGTCATCGAAGATCAGTCTCATAACACCCAACATCGGTATGGTCTACTCGGGCATGGGTCCTGACTACCGCGTTCTCGTCGACAAGGCTCGCAAGGTCTCACATACCGGCTACAAGCGCGTCTACAACGAATACCCACCCACAAGGATATTAGTACAGGATGTGGCGCGAGTGATGCAGGAGGCTACACAGTCTGGAGGTGTCAGGCCGTACGGTGTCAGTCTGCTGATTGCTGGATGGGACGATGGTATCGAACCTGAGGCCGAAGGCAAGAGCGAAGAGCAGACGAGCGAAGAGAAGAAGAAGGTCAGCGGAAAGACTGGTGGAATCCTCAAGGGCGGACCAAGTCTCTACCAGGTCGACCCCAGCGGCAGTTATTTCCCTTGGAAGGCTACGGCCATAGGAAAGAGCGCGACAAGCGCCAAGACCTTCTTGGAGAAGCGCTACACCGACGGTCTCGAGCTCGAAGACGCCATCCATATCGCCCTGCTCACCCTCAAGGAGACCATAGAAGGAGAGATGAACGGCGAGACCGTTGAGATTGGCATTGTCGGACCGCCAGAGGAGAGGCTGCTTGGTACTGAGGGTGTCGAGGGAGCCGTCGGACCGCGATTCAGGAAGTTGAGCCCGTCCGAAGTTGAGGACTACCTCACCAACTTGTAGAGGTAGAAGGTTATGACACAGCACCATCCTGCTCCGAGTCGGTACAGATGGACTTGGTGCTAAGGGCATGAAGCGACTTATGTAGCATTTACGAAAATGATGTCTTGAAATGCCTAATACTTGATCCCATTGGTTCGTAGACAGTGACGCGACAAACCCAATTGGGTTGTTTGTGCAACAACGAGAGCAGATAGAAGTACGTGAGGGGTTCTGCATTTCGATTGTCCGCGGTCAGAACACGGCCAAGCTAGCACCCTGTCGCCTTTGAGCACTGAGACCCAACACCAAGTTGGTGACTTTCAACGCTTTTTAACTTGTGTCGCATCATCTCGATTTACAAATGGATTCGCCAATGCAAGATGATAACGATGCTGAAGCCCCTCCTGCTGTGCCCAGTGAGGCGTTCCAACTGCGAGGTTATCAGGCTGAGATGGTGGAAGAGAGCATGAACGGCAACGTCATTGTGGTCATGGACACAGGCTCAGGAAAGACGCACATGTAGGGAGAAGAATTTCGCTATGAGAGAATTTTACTGACAAGTCTGCAGAGCCATCGAACGGACACGAGCGGAGTTGGAGACGTGCGAGCCCGACAAGGTACGGATACCTGCCGCTAAGTCCCCACACTAAACTTCATCTCACCGAATTCGGGACGCATTTTAGATCGTCTGGTTTCTAGCACCCACAGTTACACTATGCGAGCAGCAACATGAGGTCTTCCAGTCTCATTTACCTGGACTCGGATACCAATTGCTTTGCGGAAGAGATGACGTTGATCTCTGGACCACTCAGGCGCAGTGGGACAGCGTTTTGGATCACATCCGCATCGTAATTTCAACACACCAGTAAGTCCACAGCATGGGCGCAAGAGAAGCCACACGCGCCTGCTGATACGTTTGCAGGGTATTGCTTGACGCACTCACACACGGATTTGTTAAGCTGAGCAAGCTGGCTTTGTTGATTTTTGACGAAGGCCAGTCTGTTGCGTTGACAAGAGAAGGCCCCGCTAACATTCTGCAGCGCATCACTGTACTTTGAAGCACCCAGCAAATCTGATCATGTCCAATTTCTATATGCCTCAATTGGATAATGGTGGCAAGTCGCTGCCCAAAGTTCTTGGGCTGAGTGCAAGCCCTGTTATGAAAGCAGCAGCCACCGAGCAGGGTCTCCAGTAAGTTTGGCTTGTTTGGACGCGGGTACTATTCTGATCTTTGTAGGGAGATAGAGCGGAACCTGCACGCCACCGTAAGGACACCAAAGCTTCATAGGTCCGAACTCATACGGCATGTTCACAGACCGGAGTTACTTCAGGTCAACTACTCGTTAAACGTTCCAGGGCAACAGCATTCTCAACTACTTATCGCGTTGCAGCATGCATTACGCACATATGATCTTGCAAAGGATCCGTACGTCGTCGCATTATTGGACCAACAAAAGCATGGCTTCGATGTCTCTCGCCAGCTGAACAAACTGTGGAATAGCAATAAGACTTATTGCCTCGACCAGTTGAAACAGCTGGTGTCTAAAGCTGAAGCCATGGCAGACGAGCTCGGAATCTCGGCAATGGAGTACTACGTACACCAATGCATTGGCAAATTCGAAAAGACAACTTGCGGCTCGGATCAACAACTACTGGATTTGACCACCAATGAGCGACAACATCTCCTGAGCATATTCCAAGGCCTTCCCCTTCAGAATCCTGCACCTTCACCTGCTACCATCATCGAGAAGATGTCCCACAAAGTTGAAAAGCTTATCGACACTCTGGTCGCTGAAGCCAATGGCACCCCAGGCTTTACCGGTCTTGTATTCATTGAACAGCGAGTCTGGGTAGCATCAATTGCTGAAATTTTAGCATGCCACCCACGAACCAAGGATCTGTTGCGGGTAGGGACATTTGTCGGTACGTCGCAGACAAGCAAGCGCAAAACAAACGTATGCGCCCTGGCAGAACCAGCCAACCAACAAACCACGCTTGACGACTTCCGTGCTGGGGTCATTAATCTCGTCCTGGCTACAACCGTTCTTGAAGAAGGCGTCGACGTATCTAGTTGCCATCTCGTGGTATGCTTCGAAAGACCCAAGAATCTGAAAAGCTTTGTTCAGCGACGCGGAAGAGCGAGGCGACAAGAGTCGCGTTACTTCATTCTCGTCCCAGATACTGGCGAAACACGATCTTTAACATCGTGGCAAGGGCTTGAAGCTGAGATGAGGAGAGCGTATGAAGACGATAAGCGCAAAGTTCAGGTGGCTCAGGAGGCAGAACAGAAGGACGAGGTGGGTGAGCGCTACTTCAGTGTCCCAAGTACCGGGTGAGTGAGAAGCCTTTACTAGCAGCGTTTGCTTTCGTACCTTGCCCAATCGGCCTTCACTTACTGGAGACACTAGTGCATTGCTGACTCTGGATAACGCGGCTCAACATCTCTACCACTTCTGCGCGCGTTTAGGGGGCAACGCCTACGTCGACACGCGACCTGAAATCGACTTTACCAACACCCTGGGGCGGATCACTGCTACTATTACGCTACCAATTTCTGTCGACCCTACTGTAAGGAAAGCTAAGAGTCTGCAGTCGTGGAGCACCGAGCGAATGGCTCAGAAAGACGCCGCCTTTGAGGCATATAAGGCTCTTTACCTGCACGGATTGGTAAACGAGAATCTACTCCCCGTCCAAGAAGAGGGAGACGACAACGCGGCCCAATACCAGATTCCAGACGATCGCCCATCCCTTGTACCTGTTTCTCAAACTCTCGATCCGTGGGCGGTGGTTGCGCAATCTCATGAATGCGAACCTGACTTATGGTACCGCACCTTGCTTGAGGTGAAGACGCCAGGGGAGGAACCGATGCGCATGATACTACTAACACCAGCTCCCATGCATGAGATTTCTAATATCTTACTGCACTGGAACGAATCGAAGCAGTACACTGCTACAACCTCCGCTCTTTACGGTGCATCTTTGGTCGACATCGACATTGATCTGTTACGCTCCATCACGTGGAAGATTTTGCGCTCGGTTTTCGGAGCACACATCATCAAAGGGGTCGACGACTTTCTCTGTCTACTTGCTCCATGCGACTCATCGGGATATATGATGACAGAGAACGAGCTCTACGAATGGAATGCGACAACGGAAGGCCAGCGCCCAGCATCCAAAATTCTGGCTCAAGGAAACCTGGACATATCGAACTGGGGTCTGACTTCCTTGCAAGGAGACCTCCGGAAGTTCATGCCCATGTCTATCGAGCTTCCAGAGTCCCCAGACCTGACAGGCATTGACGAAACCCTGATACAAGTTGTGCGTTTGCCCAAACGTCGAGACTTTTTACATGCGGTATTTGAGAACGCAAACAAGAGCGAAGCGTATACCAAAGTAGAGAGTCTACTAGCTTCATCATGTCTTGTTGAAGCTCTTCCGACTAGATACGCCATTCTGGGCTTGTTGTTACCATCGATCCTGCACAAGCTTGAGGTATACATGATCGCGGATACACTTCGAACGACGATTCTCCAGCCAGCTGGATTCGAGGCATCGGACCTTCCAGTCATCATCACAGCACTTACTTCATCCGCGGTTGACAAGCGCGACAACTACCAGAGGATGGAATTCCTTGGCGACTGTATTTTGAAGTTCGTCGCTTCGCTTCATCTGATGGCTGCAAATCTCATCATGCCCGAAGGTATTCTCACTGGGAAGAAAGGCAAGCTTGTCAGTAACGGCTACCTGGCACGAGCTACACTTGCTGCGGGCTTAGACAAGTTCATCTTCTACAAGAACTTCACCGGCGCAAAGTGGAAGCCGCGATACATTAGTGATACACTCGCTGATAGCGCGCCGCCGACTAAGCAAGAGAAGTCATCGAAGCTCATCGCCGACGTCATAGAGTCGCTCATTGGTGCTTCGTATCTGATCGGTGGCTTCCCCAAAGCGTTCGCATGTGTGCAAGCTCTCCTACCGCTAGAGAAATGGACGCCTATCCCGGAAGCGAACGAGATACTCTACAACGCGGCCCCCTCTCAAGACACAGTAACAAACTTGGCCCTGGTGGAGAAGCTACTTGGTCACACGTTCAACAAGAAGGACCTCCTACTAGAATCTCTCACCCACTCTACGTTCCGCGGCCCAAACGTGCACTGCTCGTACGAGCGTTTTGAGTTTCTAGGAGACGCAGTGCTCGACTACATCATCTCGAAGAGGCTCTACGCTCATGAGTCGAGGCTGCCGCATTGGAAGATGCATGGCGTCCGAACAGCAATGGTAAACGCGGCGTTCTTGACTTACTGTATGTTCGAGACTACGGTAGCGGAAGAGTTGACCAACAAGTCCACCTTCCAGCCAGAAGTGCATCATAGAGCTCTGTGGCAGTTCCTTCGATCTTCAAGCCCAGAGCTCATCGCCGGGCGGACTGCAGCCCTGCAACAACATAACGAGGCACGTCATGCGATCGCTACAGCTCTAGCGCACGACAACCGCTTCCCGTGGCATGCGCTCTCGCTCACTGACCCACCCAAGTTTCTCTCTGATATAGTTGAGAGCGTGATCGGCGCCCTCTACATCGATTCTCAGGGCTCCATCCCCGTGTGCGAGGAGTTTGTCCGTCGTCTGGGTATCCTGCCATGTCTCGAGCGCATTCTTCGGGATGGTGTGGACTGCTGGCATCCGAAAGAGCGGATCAACACGCTTGCGGCGGATAAGGGTATCAAGTACGTCCGGGTCACGAGCGACCAAGGCAAGTCTGGTAAAGGAGCGAGTAGCCCGGAGAAGGGGTATAGGGTACAGGTGAGAATTGGCGGGAAGGATGTGGGAGGTGTGGTCGAGGGAGTCAAGAGGTTGCAGACTGAGACTATCGCTGCCTGGAAGGTTATCGCGCTGCTTGAAGGCGCAGCTGATGATTCTGTACCAACGAAGGCAGCAGAGGGTGAAGAAGAGGAAGATGAAGAAGACGAGGAAGATGGGGGTGTTGCTGTTGTACCAACGACGGCAGCCGAGGAGGACGAATCAGACGAGGAAGATGAGTTCTTCGATGCTGAAGAAGGCGGTGGAGTCATGTTGGAGATTTGATGCGTAGAGGGGGGAGTCATGCTGGAGGGTGCTGAACAGACGGTGGCCTATCACGTATGATAACGCACTGGTCTTTGCTAGCCGGTTGATCACACTCTCATCTCTACCGCCCCTTGTGTAGATTGTGGCTCACTGGATATTTCCACGCCTATCATATTCCATAGAAGCTCATTGTTGCCTACGACTGTCAACATGTCAGTACCGGTTTTGGCCCCCATGCAGTGAGGCAGTGCCTCTGGACTATACTTTGGTTCCCCGCATCCTTTCACCCTTCCTCGAACCTAATTGAGGTCTCGTAACAACCATTTGCGGTGTTTCAAGCGCTTATAGAGTATCCTAGATACCCCTCTAGCATACGGAGGCGTTGCCGAGACGTAGTCTGCCCAATGGTAGTTATCGCTTATAGACGATAACGCATTGTTTCCTTTTGCACAATGACGATGACCTTTGCACGGTGATTGTGATTGGTACTGCGCCGTACATCAAAGGAAGCGTTCACGAGTTAAATCTCCGAGGAAGTCTTTGCCAAGACGTGTAGGGTGTGGTCTGGAGTCGGCAACGCCGAGCATCCTGACCAGAGGAAAGGTGCAGCCTCGAGAAGACGGCTCGTGCCTATCGCCAGCGGCAAAGTAGCTTTTGCCACTGTTCACTCCCATGTCCCCCTCTTATAGCTTCCTAGCTGTGTTGCCAATCGCTGGGGTATTCGGCCCATTTCGTCTTCCAATTGTCACTGTCAACCACTCATCCCTACCACCCAAGGTATGCTTCCTCTTCTACAATGACAAATACGTCGCTTATCGATAGCATTTATCCCGATTAGCCAAGTTCGTGGCTGAGGGTCGCGGTTGTCGCATCGAGCGAGCCGTGCGGCACGGTTGTGGAGGAGGAAGTTTGAAGCGCGTTTATGCGTTGGATGCAGCTTGAGGAAACAGAACGAAACGAAGCCAAAAGCTTTGGATCCTCTGCCTGAATTCCCTCCGAAGATAGATATCCGCTGGATGATATATTCCTTCGTCAGTTCGGCCGTGGCGTCAGTCATCGGATCGGTATGGCGGCTTGGAGCGCTGAAGTCACCCGGTGCGAGTAGTGTTCTCACTGGCTCGAGATTGCGCCATTAGAGTGCTCGAGGGTATGATTCTGCCTTGCGAAGACCAAACAGGTAGTTTGATCCCTTCTTCGATTTGTATGTTCGGAGTCTGGCGTCGACAGCTTAGGAACTTGCTCCGAGAAGCCTGTGCTCTAGCATAGTCCCCAAACCCAGACGTAAGTCTTGCATCCTACAATACAAGCACTGAGCTATACAGACTCTAGCTTCAACTACCATGGAAAGCGCGAGAATATGTTACCCTAGGCTTTGTAAAAGATACGTGGTTGTAGTATCTGTTGCTTCCGACACGGGAGCCAGCGCTCACACGACCCTAAAGTCTCGGCAACTCAGTCTTCTCGGAAGCTGCCTAAGGCAGTACCAGTGAGCCCTTGATATCTTTGTGCCCTTGCAATGCCCTCGGATGCCTGGCTGGTCTCTCGGTGTAGGTACTTGTTGAGGGTAGTCGTATGATACCATAAAACCGACCGGCCTCAGGTCCGACAGCGCGGCAGGTCCCCTCAGCTCTACCCGGGAAGCTGGTATGTATGTCTCATTCAACAGCCATCGGGCCGTATGGCATGTTGTGTATGGGTAATAGACCCTATGCAGAGTCATTGGATGGATGCGGATAAAATGACGTGCCGGTCAAGGAGAGTTCGGGCTGATGCCAGGTATCTGTTGAGCATCTTGTGATGTAGCGGTATTGATCAGCGGTCTATACAAGAATCCATAGCTCGGAGGGAGCCAATTCACTCACCCTTAGCGCCATGTTGGATTGCAAGCACTTGACAGGTAGCACTGTTGCTTCCAGGGGAGGCTATATGTGTGGGTCCGATGTAAGACATGTCGATGATACTCGGAGCGGAATACGTAAGCTTTTTTGGCTGGTAGGGCTGTTGGAGTGGACCCAAAATCCGATGCCTCAGGCTGTCCGGTGTTGTTGCAATATGTAATCGGTGTGTGCGGCGCTTGCCAAAAGGGCCGGCTCGGCACAGCCGAATTGAAGGGCAGAGCGGAATAGGCATCGCACGATAGGTGTTGCGGGAGAAATTATGTTGTCAGAGCGGCTCCGGGAGTTGCAGACTAGTGTGGCGGAGGCACAGTTGAGGTGGTTTCCTTCCGACGCTCCGTTGTGGTGAGGCGCTCGTGGTGCCGTGTGGCGTATTCGCTGTTCTGACAAGACTGCCTGACGGCCACTTCCCGGGCCCGAACATCAATGCAATGTGACTGCTCTCGGTAGGGGCGAAAATTACCTAGCTACCGTTGCTCTGTCTAGTGATCTTTGATTGAGGCGCGGAAACCGCATAGCAAGACTCGATGGAGAAAAATATCTTGTGTAACTATAAAGCGCGCAGTATCTTCGATACGAAATATATAACTACGGAACAGCCATCATTTTTTCAGACCTTCATCTTGCAAGATATCGAGATTCGACACCTACTTCCAATCGTCTCTTCATCCTCTCTCCAGCTTCATCATGTCGTCTTGTTCAAACCAAATGCCACAGTCGTCTACTGGTGGCAGACCTACCGGCGCGACAGGTGGTGGCTACAACAAATATCCATGCCCAAACTGGCAGCAGGCAGGTCACCCATCAAATTACAACTTCGTCGACCAAAAGGATCAGCTGTGCGCTCATTGCATGGTCAGTATATCAGTTCCACGGTTTCGCACTGCGCTAACCATTCTATCAGTGCGCACCCCGCCGGCGCTGAAAGGAAGCATCTTGCAACATCAGTGCAAATGGGCTTGGAGAGTCGCAGTCGTGCTTTTTTTCAACACGTGGCGAGGGCGTTTTCAGTTCTTGTGCGGTACTATTTGGGTTCTATTTGGGTGTTTGTTGAGTCAAGTGACGATGTTTAGATCAAGCTGCACTGCTTGAGTTGACGCGAGTTTAATGGAATGGAAGCTGATTGCGCATGTTTCTCCTCCCCACCTTGCAAGTCAGTGTCATTGTCCAGCACCGATCGCATTTCTTGCACTCATCATGCTGCAGCTGATCCACTCCGAGCGTTGACTTGTCTACATGGCACCCCATGATCAGGATTCGCATACCTGCGGAAGGAGCTGCTTGTGGTAAGAGTATCTGACGTCAAAGCGGCATCCGCACCCCAACTAGGGATACTGCGAGTGCCTTCGTCCTTCGTTTCAACTATCTACGCCTCGCACTGCAACGGACCGAGCCTGAGCTTCCATGGCTGGAAGGCTATGCGGGCGTCTACTCTTGGAATCGGCAGATGGCGCGAGAATTCTCAGCAGCGGCGGCGACAGGTGGACCCCCAACCAACACCCACGTTAATCAGCGCCTTAGCCGGTTCCTCATCAGCCGTGATTGATCGACGATGGATGCACAATGATCAGGCGGGGCAATAACCGAGGGAATCCGCTTTCTCTGTTGAGAGTGCACGATTGCAACGGAAGGGGCGTCCAATCGGTCTAGCTAAACCCTCGAATCGAGAGAACTGATGAGCCGAAGAAGCCGGACAATCACCAGTACCACCAAGATTGCTCATGTTTGGCATCCCGTATTATGATGCTATACCAGCTGATATGCATAAGAGAGTACTCAGCGTCGCGATCACTGTCACGGATCGGGTTTCCATCTTCAGCGGACTCTCGATCCATCACTTCGATCTGTTCACCCTTTTGAGTCCGTAGACCCCAAGCTGCCACCGATTGACAACGGCTTCGTACCATGAGAAGTGCCAATTCCACGCCAGCACGTTCACTCTACTGCAGGGAAAGCGGGACTTTACGCGCTAAGCGCGCATGATTCGTTGTCTTTCATGTTGGACAGCCTCTGCTTCGACGAATCATGCGCACACTCAAAAGAATCCGGAAGGGCTTGCCACATTCCGTAGCGCAAGGCCATGACAAAGACGCCAAAGATGTGAGCTAGCCCTGTTTCACCCAGACATGTTAGGTCCCTTTAGGCAAATGATGCTTGATATGATCTGGTTGGATACCATCCAGAATGACATGCAGAAGCCCGTTATCGAGCAATAGACCGAGGGCCGGTAGCTGGGAGACGGCAAAAGGAAAACTCTAGATCGACGCTGATCTCGACCAGGCGATTAAGCGCGCAAAAACGTGGCATGCCGATTCATTGGAATTGGAAATGCACAGTGGGTCTCTAAGCCTGCGAAGTACTCCAGGGAACCCAGCTCCCCGCATCCTTACATGTCTGTCCCGCCGAGTCATGAGCGCGGTGAATTCCCCAACGGCTACCGGGTTTCGCCAGGACTCAGGGCCGATTCAGTATAGTGTGGTCTCTGTCAGAAGATTGAGCAGTGACGTCGTTTTGGCAGTTCCCACGGTACTAACTCCCACGCTATCTCCATGATGATAGTTTAGGGTTTGCACCAAATCTCCGCACTACGCAGATAGTAGTTGGAGCAGTAGCACGGGGCAAAGCGCCCGCCGATCACCACAGTTCATCCATCGTGACATGGCAGTGCTTACAGTGTATGCTTGTTGGAAGCGACACATCTCGTATCGTATACAACGGCCAGGCACGGAGATACGCACACGGAAAATAACACTTGAGTTGGACCCGAGGTTTGACTATCCGGACTTTTGCAGGATCCTTGATCCCAGGCATCGACCTCTTCTGCGACCACGCTGAGCCTTACGCACACACCAGGAGCGATCCGTCCTCGAGCCAAATCATCGGAAAGCAGCGAATGGGAAAATATATTCACGTCACACACGGCTCAACTTGTCATGCGACTGCGCCGTCGGCAATTCTAACCCAGAAAAACAAAGCAGCAGTATATGGCATCCTCAGGTAAATTGTCGGGGCCATGTTTTGGAGATAGACAGGTCATCCCGTACGAAGCTACGGGCCTGGTGTAAACTGCGGCCGGCGCTACAAGACACAGATTCACTGGACGCAACAATCCAACATCGCAAG